ACTATATTAAGCCATTGGGGGATTTCGAATGGTTGAACCGTGAGCTGATATTAACGATCTCGTGCTAATATGGCTTAAAGTAACTTCGGATGGGGGTTCCAAGACGACGATTCGACGAGACGAAAAACAAATACTCTAGAGATTGGATCAAACGTTTTCTTCCAAAGTTTCCGGGGGCAGCTTATCAATAACCCGTTTAACCCCCCGTCACGTCAATGAATGCCATGAAGTCGTTTCCTATCACTCACCAACACGTCATCCTTCAAGTAATCCAGCCCTGGGACCGGATCTCTCTCCCGTTACCAAGCTCGAGCGAACCGAAGTCGCGCTTTACTCCTTGGCCCCTTCGTTAGTTCCACTAGGCACACCTACCAATTGCTTAGGGCGGACTTTTAGGTTTCGATCGGTCCTCCCTCCACTCGGGGCATCACTCCCGGAACGGGTGGCTATGGCGACTGGGAGATGGTCATGGCTTCGTGTTTCTGGTTTCAGTGAAATCTGGTCAGAATGGGCATGGCGGGATCTGGGTACACTACTTCGTACTTGTCCTCTATTGATCGATGTATTGGTATGTCCTGTTCATCCAAGGAAGACAGCACGGGCTGCCAACCAAACCCTGTGCGGGGGTGGGTGGGGGATGGATGGCAAGAAGATGTTAACACGTTTTGACCTTTGTTTCTCTCCTTTCCCTCGGCCTTCTCGTCTTTCCATTGTTCTTTGTCCTTCGTTCCGCTGTTGCATCGGCGCAGAACTCCTTTTCATCAAGGCCCAGTTCCGTGGGGACGGGGTCTCCGATTTTGAGGAAATGCCTTCCATAGTTGGTGGAGCAACATTCCCCGGTTGGCTAACAGGATCGGGATCCCCTAAAAAAAGAACCAGCCTCCATCGTTTGTCTAGTGTATGGAGCCCTGTTACGAAGTAAGCCGGCGCCTTTAAGAAGCTCAATACTTGGACGCCGCAGTCGCAATCGCCAGTCTTGGGGTGTGGTTGCCATCCAGTGATGGGTCTGATACTTTGGAGCAAGTACCTGTGGGGAACGGCGTATTTAGAAGGTTCGAAGAAGGGGGCGCTAGCTAGCCAAGGAGGGCCAAAGCAACCCTGGCAAATGCTACCACGAAGGAAGAGTGCGGTACATTGACGCCCTAAGCCCAAGCTAATCCTTTTCAAGTGGAAGTAACGAAGAGGTACTGGGCAATGTGCCTCGGCATGTTGACACAATCTAGGAAGGAAAAAAAAGAACGTGTCCAGCTTTTTCGCTCCTTCCCCTTCTGGAGATTTTACTCGGTCTGTCAGAAAAGGAAACCTGGCACTCATTTCGAGGACACCGAAACATGGCATCAACTAGTGCCTGGAATCGTACAATTGTATGGGCCATGTCAGACACGATGTCTGTAAACACCTGATCCTCCCGCCTCCTATTAATGTAAGCTGAAGAAGACCCGCAGGTGAAGAGTATGCATCACGTCTAATATTCTGGAAAAGAATACCACCGAGACATATTTGGTTATGTCTAACGGAAATCGGAACACTGTCTTTGATGCTGCAGCGAAAAAGCAATAAGCTTCTTCAAGAGTGTGTTGGGGCTCCTATGAGGGTTCTAAACTGAACCGCGTCTCATTACTCTGCTTCATAAATGTAGTAGAGAACGAAGTACCTCTGTACACCTTGGTGTAAGAGAATTTTCTCTGCGGTTCTTATCACACGAAGGGCTGGTGCGTTGCCATCATCTGTATCTGAGGTCTCTCATTACTCCGCAAAACAGTGGACTAGCACCGTAATTGATGGATGGGGTGGACACCGTATAATACCCGTATTATAATGGCTCAGTTCAAAGTTACGACGATTGACAGCGCCGACCGATACTTTGCGACCAGCCTCTTTAATCGTGTCACTCGACAAGTCATTAGGCCTGACCGCAGCACAGCCTGGGTGCCCGAGTTAATTGGTACTGATTACAGAGCAGATCCCCCCCTGATGCGTAATACTGCAGGGTGCCATCCATCGCTGCCGAACACCCCGTGGTGGTGTCGTGGAGTTTGGACGCTTAGTGTGCGACCTTCCCTGAGATCTTACCGGACTAGGGGCATTGTGCTTGCGTCGTCGTCCTTCGTGCATTACGGGGGAAGCAGGTTGCAGGCTTCGATGAGTTTTCGAGAAGGAGGCCAGAATATTGTCCAGACCCACCAAGCGAAAAAGGCTTGTCCTCCACAAAATCGCAATCGCAGCCCAGTGATTCGATGCACACTCTACCGATGTCGTAGTGTATGAACTTCTGCTAGCAGCCCATAGTGTACCTCCACTTCTTTTAACAAGGCGTATCCACGATGGCACGAAGGATCAATATCAATTAGTGATTGATCACTTGGAGTGGGTTTAAGCCCACTTCGATGTCGTCTGACACGCTCAGCTTTTAGGTCGATAATATTGTCGTGCCTTGTCTCTTATTCTCCACTCCCCTCTGCGTCGTACATTCTTCGTGTTTGGTGTTCTGCGAAGCGAGCCATAGAGTTCTGTATTGAAGTCGATGCCTCCTCTGCCTTTTCCACCAGCTTCTGCTCTGATTTCCGGCCTGGGGCGAACGAGACTACTTCGTACGCTACGGTAAATCGGTACCTTCAATTCAGCCTAACCGAGGACCCAGCCCGTTGTACACACGTACCGCAGCACTAAAAGTTGAGTGGTGTCTCCAGCCCTCTGCTTCTCTGCCTTCCTCGCAGAAGGTAGTGTCGCGTAGTGTATTAATTAGCTGCAACGCTAATCTACTTGAGAGTACGAAGGCGAGGTACAAACAAGAAGGACGTACCGTTCTGGGAAGGAGAGCACTTGGGTAATACCACGGTACCTTGCTCTCCCAATCCCCCCAAGTTTCAACTCCTCATCGAAGTACTTGTCAGGGAGCAGGTGGTGCAGGTATACTTCGTGCAGATGGGAGGACGAAGGGGGAACATTTCGTGGGCAGTACCACTTTGAGCTGTTTCTAAATTTCGTCATTCCAATTTTTTTTTTTCCCCTTTTTTTTTTTTTTTCAAATTTTTTTTATCGTCCCAGATAAATTCTATTCGATGAAATAGACTTTTCCCCATCTGTCAGTCTTGAATCAACCTTTTTCCCCCATACGCCATAGGGCATTTCCTCTCACCGGGCTGCCGCTCCCAGGATTGGTCTGACAAGTACTAAAGGCCGAAGTACCAAAAAGTCCAGAAAGTCCACCGTGCGATTTTCGTTTTGACTGGTCCACTCCTGTCCAACTAAAATTTCTCGCGTTTTTCGGGTGATTCTTGCTTCATGACAAAGACGGAAGGAGCACGAGGGTTGCTCCCGGCTGCCTACCCCATTGTTCTCACCTTCTAGAATGTTACTTCTCCTATAACAAGACCCTGGACGCCCCTTACTTCTGCAACCGCTGGACTTGGCGACGGTAATTATTACTGGATCCGATTTCGACTCCACTTCTGCGACTATTCTCCATTGTTCCTTCCCCTCCCACCCACTCACCCACTATCAAGACATCAACTATTCGCTGCAACGCCTGCCACCATTCGGAGTACTGAGTAGAGACTGGGGCGCCTTTGACTTCGCCTTCGCTCTCTCCGCCGAGACGCTTTTGTCCTTTCTTTTGTGAGCCCGAAAAAAGAATCGCCTGCGATCCTTTTCTTTTCTTCGCTCTTTTCTTAATTTTCGTTCGTCTCACGATCGTGCTTTTTGCTGGCGCCTCGGGACAAAATTTTTTTTTTTTTTCCCTTTCCAAACTACATTTCGACCCCCGGTCTCGTGCGGCGACTTTGGACAGCCCAACTGAGGGGGGAAGAAAGGTAAAGCCCGGAACCCTAATCACATTGATCGTCGAGTGAGTCGCCTATCTGAAGCAATTGAAAGCCCGTCCTTTTATCCTCCTTCCCCCCCACATTCGTCCTTGCCATCGCCTCTTAGTGGTAAATCTTCGAGCCTGTCTCGCTTCCCACGCCTGATTCTCCGCTCGACCCTCAGCTCCATTCATTTTCCCCATTGCCCATTGTTCCCGGTATTCTACCTCCCCCCCCCTTCCACTCTCTTGTTCTTGTGTGTCGGGGAGTTGAATCCTGCCCATTTCATGGTCTCGACGCCGACACCGCAACCTTGCCAGTTTCTTCAGCTCTTGACATGACCTTGTCCTAATCACCTCACCCCAACTTTCCCATTGCTACCTTCTCGCCATGTACTTGTACCATCTGTACTTTTGTCTTGAACCACTCGCATTCTTTGCTTTCTCCTGAAGCGATCCCAATCTCTCCCCTCTTCTGCGACACAGCAGGAGTACGCCGAAAATCGAGCGCAATCCGATTCCCATCCATCGCGATCATCTACGTTATTTGCTTGTTCTCTACTCTCCTCTCCATTATTTCCGTACGAGGTCGTCCTTTCACCATCGTCAGACCTCACTTGGGCGCACCCTCTTCAACTATTGCTATTCTAGAGCTTGCGGCTAACGCGCCCTCTCCCATCAGGAAATGATCGGATGCTAGAATTGCTTCGACTTTATACCAAAGAATTGAAATCGCTCGATCTCGATTCCGACCTAGATATAACGAGTCCTCGATCGACTTTCGCTCCCAGAACCCTCTACAAGTCCCGTGGCTATTCTATCAATGCGATATTTCCCACAGTGATCGCAAGGTAGGATACTATATATAACAGGGCGGTCGTTCTTGGACTTTTAGCCCGTATCGTGTCTGGCGCATGGTCACCGTCTCCGGCTTATCGCCGTAGCCCTCCCCTTTCGCTCTTCAATCCACGTCTCTGAGAATTCCATCGTTCTGTTGAGCGACGACCCGACCCGGCCGACCTCTTGCGCGAGAGAAAGAAAAAAAAAAAAACCGCCCTCCCCTCTCCCGCAATTGTTTTCCTGTACCTTTCTTGGTTTGAGTGGTGGTCGAACGTTGCTGTTAAGTTGACGAGACTTTCGTTGTTTGTGTGAGGCCTTAATGCTCCAGTCGCGAGACTGGATGCTGTAGGACCCCACGATGGACAAATTAAAGTATAATGTCATCTATGTCAACCGAAATGCCCGTCAGGACGGACTCATCCCGGCTGCGCTGGCCAATTCGGAGAATACCTTGGCCAGCGTTGTCGGCGAGTCGGGGCCGAGCGGCTTTGGAAAGGACCTACGGTTCTTGTTGGAGTTTAGTGATGGTTCGTTGTCGACTTGTGTGGAATTTGCCCCGACTCAACCCTTGACCCATTCGCTAACCCAGTATGTGCTTTCTAGTCCACGTTTGCGCAACCGGCGCATCTTGCCTTACCCACCTGTTCAAACTACACGACTCTTCGATGCTTGACTTGAAGCCCACGATTGTATTAATAGATACGCCCCATAACGAGCGAATACCCGAACCTCGACCTCGAACCCGATCTACATCGCCGCATTCTAGAAGCCCCCTCACCGAGATCCAAATCCACACGCCCGACGAGGAAGTGTATGGTTTAAAGCTGCTACAACGGGTAATCACCGAATCGCATTTACGGAATCTAGCGAAGCTTGTTGTTCCCATTCCCATCATCAATTGCCTGCCTTGTGAGAACGAAGCTACCGAAACGAGTGAAGCGAACTCTCTAAGCGCTCTCCGACCGAGCCCAGCGTTGTTGAAGCGATGCGTGGATCTAGGCGCCGGGGATGTTATCATTAGTCCGTTGGATACAAAGTCCATGACAAGTCTTGCCGTCCAGGCCTACAGGGCACACAGAGAAGCTGCAAGGGAGCAGCAAGCCTTGCTCGAGGTCCGCAGGGGCCGGAAGCTGTCCTGGGTTGGCGTACATGAGGAAAAGCCCTTTTCCTATCTCCGCGAGGCCATGGTCTCCGGCTTAATGAAGGGCCTCTGTCGCCGAGGCCACGAGTACGACGACACGATTGGGGGCGCCAAGATTGCCATTCCCCAGGAGCGACGTTTGGCTGTCGCCAGCGCTGTTGGTGATTGGCATTTCTCTGCCCACGACTTTGCTGACGACGAGCTACTCGTCGGAGCGATGCTCATGTTTAAGCATGCCTTGAGCATGCCTGCCCTGGATAAATGGCGGATACCTACAGGTCAGTATCAACCTGGACTTTCTTTTGCAAAGTCTTTAGCTTCGTCGCTACTTATCAGAAAGGAGCGCTGCAAACTGTCTCAAACGATGCTGTGCATTTAGATGCTAACATAATGGACTAGACCAATTAATCAACTTCCTCGTCGCATGCCGTGCGGCCTATAATACCTTCGTCCCTTACCACAATTTCCGGCACGTCGTCGACGTTCTCCAGGCCACATTCAACTTCCTCGTTAATATTGGTACTTTCCCTGCCTACCCCGCCGATTCTTCTTCCACTTTGCTGGCACAAGAGCAAGACAAGTCACCAATAGCCAGTCTGCTCCAGCCCTTTGAGGGTCTTGCGCTACTGATAACAGCGATCGGCCATGACGTTGGTCACCCTGGTGTAAACAATGGGTTCCTAATTACTCTTAACGCTCCGCTTGCCCAGCTTTACAACGACAGGTCGGTTCTCGAGTCATTTCACTGCGCCGCTTTCTCACAAATCCTCCGTCGCTACTGGCCTGTAGCGTTTGAAGACACAAAGATGAGGAAATTGATGATTAGCTCGATATTATCAACGGATATGGGTCTCCATTTTGAGTACATGAAAAAGCTATCGGACACGCAGGAAAAATTACGCGCGGCCAATACAACCGATGGATGGGATGGGCGCACTATCGATGACCAAAAATCTCTCGCATGTGCCCTTCTAATCAAGTGTGCTGATATCAGCAACGTGGTGAGTATTGAGGAAGTATGTTGGCATCTCGCGGAAGTCGATGGCTAACCCAAATTGCTCCCATAGGCCCGGCAATATACCACGGCTGAGCGGTGGATGCACATATTATCAGACGAGTTCTCTCGACAGGCTTCGATGGAAACAGAACTTGGCATCCCGTCGGCTCTGGCCTCACAGCCAAAGAAGGATATCAGCTCGCTCATCAAGTCTCAGCTTGGGTTCATGGAGTTGTTCGCGATTCCTCTCTTCCAGGGGGTTGCAGATATCATGCCCTCTCTAAAGTACACCGTCGAGGAACTTTTGATCAACCGAGGACTGTTCGAAACGGGCGCCACAGACGTACAAGTAAACGGCGATTCCTATCGCCCAGAAACGGCACCGAGTTCCATGTCGTCTCATAACAGTAGTGCTATGGGTTGCCCTGCTGCGTCAGACAGCGAGGTGGAAGGCTGTAGCCCTGAGACAACGATAGTGTTGGCTCCGGCAGTGGCGGCGCCGACCACCCCTGTAACGCCCCTAGACTTCCCGAGGCCGAACGGCGTATCATATTTTCCGACGACGGTCGACCACTTGACGGAGGTTAATCAACGAGGTCCGAATTCTACGACTGACGACTTCAAAGCTGTAAACGGCATTGTGACAACGTTCGAGTCTGTCGCCGATTTTGCGGCCAGTGACCCATTTAATATGCGGTACCGACTCGATAGCTATGGTGACGGAAAACAGTTATTGTCGGGGAAGCAGCGATGTAGCGAAACGACCGATGGTAGCAACTCGGCCCCCTACTCTGGAGACTGGACTTCGCAGGCCACAAGCGCGACGACGGGCAAGATGCCCCTCTCGCCGAGCACCCAGGGCACTAGCATTGCCAGCAGGGAATCTATTGACCGCCCGTCTGGTGTTGTGCAGCCGTCTTCGGGACCGGTTCACGACCCAAACAAATTACAACCACCGATCTTAGCGCCCGATGTGGATCTTCGCCCGGAAGTGACGGTTACCGACTCGAGCCGAGATGAAGACTCTACGTCTAACGGGAGCACGGGGAAGCCGGAGAGCACTACGCTGAGGAAGAGACCAAGCAGGTTCAGGATGAATGCGCTAAACATCTTTAGGCGCAATAAGACGCCTACGAGTGCGCAAGTGGGGGCAGCAGCGGACGCAAACTTATGATGGACGCTTAATCAGCCTACAGGTTCTGACGGATTTGCTCGAAAAGATCACGATCCGGTTGCTTGGCCTCAAATCACGAAAACGCCTAGACGGCGTCTTTAGGAGGCGGGGGCATTATTATATACGCTCCTGCCCCTGGACGAAGAAAGCTAGTCATCTTCGTTCTTTGCATCATCGGATAGGAAACATGCTACCGGCGTTTTGGGGTTGTCGATGATATTATTGCATCATTACGTTTCCTCTTATTTCCTTTCTCTCCCTCTCTTTCTCTCTTCTTTTAGTCTTTTTTATTTTCCCTTTCCCGGTGTTTACGGGAGGGAAAAGCGTGGATTTCTCGCCTTGAGATGCGATTGTACACAATAATGAGGGTAAACGCGGCGGAGAATTACGGATGTCACACCCGCCACCACTTTCTGCACACTTTCGATACTGAATCGAACTACGTACCACTGTCCACCATGGCACGGTACAGTGGACGAGCATCGAGGTTTTCTCGTGCAGACGGCTCGAATGTTAAAGGCCGCCGAGGAGCCAGAATGAGGAATAAAAACACGGGCATCGGCGGTGAGGAAACAAGGAAACCAGAAGGAAACCAAATCGGGAAGGGCGTGCTGGGCGGTGTGGATTATGTAGAGAGCGCATGGTTCATTGTTGGGTTGGCGGGGCGGCTTTTAACGGCGGGAATGGATGGCTTTGAGGCAACGGAGGATGCATGGACGGGGGAGTATATATATGCATATACTTTATATGTGTAAGTGTACATTATCAATGTTTATTGACAGTATTTCGCATCATCGTGAGCATTGTCTCTAGCTTTAGATTCGAGTGATGTATGTCTATAACAGCCTAGTTGTTGGGAGATCCCTACTTGGCAAGTTGAGAGTGGATGATGGAGAGACAGGGTTGCTGAGCATTGCACATTCAAGTCTTCGATGCCCCTGTTCAAAACTTCTTCAGTAACAGCATTAATGCATCCTTTGGAATGGCCGAGCAACTAGAATTTTGAATGATCCTTTGACTTTGATTCCTGATCCTGGTATGTTCAAGCTTCCAAACGATTGAGAGTCTTACAATTGTGCAACTGTATTTGATACTCGTCGACAAGATTGGATTGTGGGGATCAAAGCTGGCACCAGACGCTTTTTAGTCTGGGATGAGGCAAAAAAAAATTTCGAACTTTTTTTTTTCAGGTCACAAAACCAAGCCGAGATGACCCCGGTCCAAGGACGTCAGACAGAGTCTGCCTGGCACTGCCATTTGGTCAGATCAATTGGTGTCTCATCGAGCATCTTGTGATGCCAGACTCATCCAGATCGGAAGCTATATTGCTAGCGAGACTCAATACGTTTATTGCCAACATGGAGTTAGTTTCGAGGCCTTGGATTCGTACAAGTATTGGTTTTCTCTCAGAATAAAATGGAAATCTCTCCAACGTTGAAATGCACCATTAAGAACTCAGGCAACCAGGATAACAAATGGGGAAGGCAAGAGCCGGACTAGCGTGGTGTAAAGTGCCCAAAATAACTCCAGTAAAGTTGGATTTTCAGCAGGGACATTGGGTTGTTCCTTCTCCATCATCATGAAGGGGAAAGTGCAAAGTACAGAGGTACATTGAACTTTGTCAGCGTGGCCAATGGGACAAAGAACGTTCTTCAAGGAGAAAAAAAAAGTTACCGAGCATTCCTCTCATTCCTCTGATACCCACCATTTTTCTCCAAGTTTCCTGAAAAAACCCACACACACACACTGCCCTCAAAAGCTCCCAGGGTTTTCCTTTCGACCGCTGCAGTATCTATTTCATGTTCCGTTTTCTTCATTGACCTACCTTTTACAAGTACAAAGTCGACGTCGAGACCAAATGCAAGTCTGAGAGTCCTGAGCCTGGAAGACCTCGAAGGACTAGCCGAGTACTCGTGTAGTAATAAGTAAGTGGTACCTTCAAAGTCTTCTCCAGCTCTGCCAACTTTTCAGCACCATCCCAGTGCCAGTGCTAGCGCCCTGGACACTGCCACATCCCTCAGCAGAACTCTTCTGGTAGCGCCTGGCTCATTGTCCAGCTTCAACAAACGACACCAGTGATCACTGCCCGCCCTGGCATGGTGCACCACACTGCCTACCCACCTTCCAATCCCAACCCCTCAATCCCCCCGATCACACAGACAATAAACCCCCCCCCCCAAAAAAAAACCAAGGTCTTGCAAGCCACCAAGTGTGGTCATGCCTGGACTGAACCAGACCTATGCAAACCACGCCGAAAATTCACATATGACCTGGCTTTGTTCCCACTAACCTCACATCACCTGCCCTTTCATCCCCCCGAGAACTTGCAAATATCAAATTATTAACACTGGCACCCGGGGTTCTCTTGAGCAGGACCAGGCCTTGCAATTAGGAATTCGAGAAACCAGCCTCGACCCAAAAGGCGAGCCACACACACAGCCCTGTCAGCCTGCTCATGACACTTCCCCGTCGCGCGCTTCTTCGCCTTCCTCCCCATCCCGATCGAAGTAGTACCCGAGCTGCCCGGGCAGCTCATCGTCATCACGTCTTCCTTAAAGAAAAGAAAAGTTTCCCGGAATTTAGTCCCTGATAGGGACTCGGAACGATCCCCTTCCCCCCAGGTCGCTCCTGCCGACATAATCCTCCCCTCCTGCGAGTCGAACGACGACGACGACCGCGCCTCATTTTCCTTCTCCGTCGCGTCCAATTCGAGCTTCTCGACCGTCCTACCCCAGGACTGCATATCGAGCCTCCCACCGAGACTTCAAACACGCCATTCCTCCCTCGTTTCCGCCGAATACGCCTCTTCCACGGCATCGTCTCCCTGTGCCGCGTACGCAGATCTCTCTCTCGACGGCGACCAGGGAGCTGAACAACTACAGCCTTCGTCCACAACCCTCGAGGCTGGCGGTGCGCTGAACCCTTCCTCAGCAGCAAGAAGCCGGTCTCCCATCCGCTATTCACAACGGGCAATCATGTCTGGGCATGGAGACCCCACCCGCTCCTCATCACCCTTAAAACGACGCGCATCCAGTATGGATCCCGAACCAAACAACACCGTCGGCCAATCTGCCTCTGATTTTCCTCGAGCTATGAGCGTGGATGCACCTGATTCTGGCCCCGGTTACGCCCAGGATCCCGATGCCAGTAAGTCGACGTCGACTACGCCGGACAGCACCAAACGCCTGAAACTGGACACGTCGTCCGAGTCCTCTGCATCACCGCCTTTTGCGGGCCAGTCGCCCCCATCATCCGAGCCCAGTGGCTGCTCCATCTCTGATGGCATCACAAGTACTTCCCCTCCCGCTCCCCACACATCCGGACCCCCCTTTCTGCTGTTTTTCACTTTTGTTCCCTTGTTTTGTAGCCAGAAAAGCTGACTATTTCCCCCTCCTTAGCTCCTCCTCTAACTGAGCAGCTCAAAACTATCCAAACTCTTCAGCGAGCATTCAATGAAACTCCTGTCCAAGAGAATGACGTGGCTTTCGTCGTTACAAAGACCTGGGTCAACAAGGCCTTGGCCTTGGGAGGAGACCCGAAGCATCTAAAGGATAATATCTCCGAAGAGCCCCTAGGCTCCGTGGATAACTCGGACATTATCCAGGAAGTACTGGAACAGCCTCCTTCTGACGAGCCCTTTGTCCGTCTGAAGCCTGGAACAGACCTTGAGACCTGCGAGCTCTTCTCGGAGGATGCCTGGAGCCTTATTTACAAGTGGTATGGCCTCAAGGAGGGCCAGCATCCTATCCGCCGTGTGGCTCTTAATACCCAGTCTGATCCCACATCACCTCCAAACATCATCTATGAAATCCACCCTCCTGTATTCACCATTCACCGTCTCTGGTCGGACGTCAGCGGTATCAACATCCCCCAGACTCTCAAGGCAAACAACCCACCCCCGCTCATCATGGTGAGGAGTGCAAGATACTCGTACAACCAGTTCATCAGGGACATCAAAGATGCGCTCAAGATCCCCTATGAACGCAAGATCCGTCTTTGGGAGGTGGATCGCACTATCCCAGAGGTTCCTTCCGGGCCCGCCTCATCCGCCTCTGCCATGACGCCGCCTACCACCCCTCCCGAATCTGCCAACCCCCAAGATTCATGGAACTCCCTCCTTCTGGACGTCCCTACCTGGGCCCAGCTCGATCGCAGCAAGAGAACGAAAATCGAGGCGGAGGATCAAACTGGTAATCCCAAGTACAATGGGAAAGCAACTTTGAATATCCACAGTCTGGTCACAGACAAGACCCTCGTTGTGGAGGAGTCGACCGACGGAGGCTGGGTTTCTACCAAAATTGCTAAGACCAATGGTAAAACCGGTAACCGACCGGCCAACATCTCCACCCAGTCTCGAACCAGCAGCGGCCGCAACAGCCCCGCGCTGCAAGGCCCCATCACACGGGGCAGGGCGCAGAAGAAGAAGAGCTGGAGGGGTACCGGGGCCGTTGGACTCCAGAACCTTGGCAACACCTGCTACATGAACTCGGCTCTCCAGTGCGTGCGGAGCGTAGAGGAGCTCACCAAGTACTTTCTCACTGATGAATACGTCGAGGAGATTAACCAGGAGAACCCGCTCGCTTTTAACGGCAAGATGGCGATGGCCTACGGTAATCTCCTGAAAGAGATGTACCACAACTCCGATCACTTCCGCCCTTCGAGCTTCAAAAGCGTCGCCGGACAGTGCCGACCGACTTTTGCCTCTTGGGGACAGCAGGACTCACAAGAATTCCTCGGCTTCCTTCTCGATGCCTTGCAAGAAGATCTTAGCCGGGTTAAACGCAAGCCATACATCGAGAAGCCCGATTCTACGGACGAAATGATTAATGACCAAGCTGCCATTGCCCGGATGGCTGAGCAGGTCTGGGACATCACGAAGAGGCGAGACGATTCGGTGATCGCGGACTTATTCACTGGTCTGTACAAGAGTACGCTTAAGTGCCCCGTCTGCCACAAGATCAGCATCACGTTCGACCCGTTCAACAATCTCACCCTCCCTCTCCCCGTTGAGAACTTGTGGTCCAAGGCCGTCAAGTTTTACCCTCTGAACGATGCCCCCGTCTACTTGGAGGTGGACATTCCCCAGCACAGCTCTATGGAGGTTCTCAAGGAATTCGTCTCCGAGCGAATCGGCGTCCCGGTCGATCGCCTGATTGGTGCGGAAGAGTTTAAGGGCAAGTTCTTCAAGATCTACGACGACTCGATGGATGTTTCGGAGGAGATTCAACCGAACGATGTGCCGACTGTCCACGAGCTCGAGCGACCCGCCTCGAACTGGCCTCCCCGGCCCGTGCCGGTGGAGAAGAGACGCCGCAAGCTTGTTGACGGAGATAGCCCCGAGAGCGATGAGGATGTTTGGGACGACCCTCGCTGTGATCAAATGGTTCTTCCCGTTATTCACCGTCGCGAGTCGCGATTTGGTCGTGCTTCTTACAGGAAGGACGATGGTCTTCCCCCTCACTTTATTATTCTCACACGCGAAGAGGTAAGGATTGGAATTTTATTATGTACCATTTCCATAGAAGCGACTCTGGAAAGTACTAACCGAAATTACCAACGTAGGCCCGCAGCGAAGATGCCATTCGGCGAAAGGTTCTTGAAAAGGTTGCCTCATTCTCCACCTGGTCCTACCTCCACGAAGATGAGGATGGCGAAGACGGTGACGTAGCTGAGAACACGGATGCCGAAATGGTGCTCACCTCGGACGGTGACTCTGGTGATTCTAAGATTATTGTCAAGTCTGTCGAAGGAGAGGAAGATTTGGTGGATGTCACTATGAAGGATGCCACCAAGGCTTCCAAGTCCACCAAGGCGTATGCTCCCCGCTCAACCCCCTCTCCCCCTCCTTTTTCTTTACAACACGCATTACTAACATTGATATCCAGTCCTGCCACCACCATCCTCAAGCGTTTTAACCAGCGACGGCCCAAATGGGTTAATACGGATCAATTCCTCCAGTCGGTGGTCCAAAACCTGTTTGAAATGAGCTACTTCAGTGACGGTCGAAACTCGGATGGCATCATGGCAACGGGATGGAATGTAGTCGACGATAACAAGGAGTTCCCGAGGCTCTCTACCCGGATGCCCGAGCCTGAAACTCCTGTTGATGACGAGACCCAGAGCACCGCGGATTGGCCTAACGGCAACGCCTCTGATAACGAGAGCGGTAGCGAGGAGAGCTCCCCCGGCGTACCGGCGCAGACACGCATGGCCGAAGAATCGTCAGAGGACGACGTCACCGTTTCATACAGGGTATGTTTTAACTAATTCCCATTTCATCTACATGACGATCTTTTTTTTTTCTAACGTCGCATGAAGAATCTCAACCGTATGAATGGTCGTGCGAAGGGCAAGTACAAGGTTGGCGGCGGCCGAGGACGACCTGGCAAGCAGAAGAAGACGTATTCCAAGAAGGAGCGGCGTCTGGCCAAGGTTAGGCGAGGTAATAAGCATCTGTCCAATAGTTTCCAGACGCCTGATGTCCCGCCCCAGCCTGAGATTCCTTCGCTTGTTGATGACGGCGCTCTTGTCCATCTTGGAGAGGGCCTTGTTGTCGATTGGAGTGAGGAGGCTTGGGACATGGTCTTTGGTCTCGACACCCAGGACTACGGCGATAACCGCGGCGCCAAAACGTACTCTAACCCCGAGCAGCTTAAGGATGTTGCCCTCGAGATGAAGCGTAAGGCCCGAGTCTCCAGGCGCAGCTCCGGCATCACGCTGGATGATTGCCTCGATGAGTTCGAGAGGGCCGAAGTCCTCTCGGAGCAGGACATGTGGTATTGCCCTAGGTGTAAGGAACACAGGCGAGCCAGCAAGAAGTTTGATCTCTGGAAGACGCCGGATATCCTCGTGTGCCACCTGAAGAGATTCAGTTCATCCCACTACCGACGGGACAAGATCGATATTAAGGTTAGCTTCCCTGTGGAGGGACTGGATCTTGAGACCCGTGTTTTGCACAAGGAGGATGGCAAAGTTGAAGTTTACGACCTCATCGGTGTCGACGAGCATTACGGTGGGCTTGGCGGTGGCCACTACACGGCGAGTGCAAAGAACTTTATGGACGGATGTTGGTACCACTACAATGGTAAGTTGTCCCCTTTCATAAGCAAGGTGTGCCTTGGCAGCAGGACAGCCGTGTCCTAGCTCCTGTTTTACTTGATTTCTCGTTCATCTTTGAACTTCGATTTACTGACGTGGCATTTTTTTTTCTTTGCTACTATGTAGATAGCTCTGTGAGCAAAGTGAAGGATCCCTCGCAGGTGGTTACTAATGCTGCCTACCTGCTATTCTACCGACGCCGTTCATCCGTTCCCTTAGGCGGACCCCGATTTGCCGAGATCTCGGCCAAGTTCAACAGCCGATTTGACGAGGATTCCGAGGAAGCCGGATCGGGGGACGACCAACGGGTTGGCGGGTCATCCCTGTATGGCTCGTCGACCGGTGGCAAGGGAACGGGGAACAGCGGGACGATTCGCCTTCGCGGAACAAATCGCGGTGGTTCTGAGCCGATGGACGAGCTCCCCCCTTACACGTCCGTTCAGCCGAGCATCGAGGACGAGGGGATCGAAATGGGTGAGTCCAGTAATACGGCGGCGGCCGGAGCGTACTCGACGGGATGGAGCTTTGATCAGCTGAACGGCGCGACAGCAAGCACCGAGGCATCAGGGAAGATATCACTTGTTGACTATGCCAGCGATGACGCGCAGCTCGACTCGGCCAGTGAAGGCCCCGATACGCTCATGGATTCCGATCCCCAGCTCCCGGACGCGGCAGGATCGTACTTTGATGCGGTTGCTCAGGGCGAGGAGCTCCTCCCAGACTACGAGTACTCGGAAGCAGCACCGGCGGTTATTGAAGAGGGCGGGGCGGCTCAGGTTCCCTGGAACGACGTCCACGGAGGTCCGGGCAGCTGGGGCCGGGCGCCGGATAACGACTCTGATGCTGTTGCGGAAATTCGGCTGGAGGACGAGACCAGGGAGTCGTAAGGACAAGGAGGACAAGGGAGTCGGCGGTGGTGAAAGAAGCAACGGCAGAGTGGCCGCGACCGCGGCTGGTACGAAGCGAAAATTCAACTTTTAATGCGTCCGCCGAGGATGGAAGAGGAAGAGGGCCGTTCGCTTTGCTTGTTGATGTTTCTCTTTCTTGTTCTTCTTTTTTTAAACTCCACCAGCATTTTTGTCTTCGATGGCATGAGCAGGATGATCGCCATATATTTGCCTATGGCTTGCATACGAATTGAATGCGCCATGGTGTATGGACATGATGAGCGGAGCGGTTGATGGTTGGCGATGTTTGCATGAAGAAAGAGAAAGGGGGATTGTTTACTTTGATGATAGGCAAGGGACCGGAGAGGAAAAGGAGCAGAGAGATGTTTATCGCATAGACAACGCACACATTCTAGACGTCGTATGCGCTCAAACGGCCACTACATGAGGCATCGACCGGTCGATGGTACAGGAGTTCAGGTTCTGCATGCTGATCGCCTTAGGCACATAAAAGAATACGAGCATTATGGACATGACATGACAGATGACGGACGAAAAAGTATGAAGTGATGAAGATTGTAGTTGCTCTCCACGTTAATAGGAGCCTGAAGGTACTTACCGCCTTCGACGGACATGATAGAGCGGGCGTAGTCGGGGTTTAGTGAGGGGATCGAATACATTCGATCCCAAGGAGTCTTGATGAGTGTAGTGAGGAGGTGTAGTGAGGAGCAATGATCGTCCTACTCTTGGAAGGGGGCTTGATAAACCTCGAGGTCAAGTTTGGAGAGCCAGAGATGGCAGTTGCACATAATCGATGGACTTCTTTTGCCATGATGTCGTTGTCGCCCTACTACTTTGATGTACGTTTTGTGCTTGTGTCCGACTTCGTGATTACGAATCTGTATTGGCTTGAATTTCTTCTGGTCATCTCCAGAGGGTACTTTTTTTAACCACCCATCAATTGGTTCATGCTCAAATGCATCTTGACGTGGACAGCATAACACAACACAGCACACACAGCACACACAGCACAAAACGGATGGAACGGGGAGAGGCCGAAGTCGCCGGCAAGGGCATGACCACTGATGACAGGCACCAATTCGCCGTCGTAATGTGTGGGGAATGCTCTCCGGAGATAAGAGTATAAAGAGCACACGACAGACCAGACCCGTCTGTACCCGTCCCCGTCTAACCTTCACTGGTTGGTCGAGACAACCCTTCTCGGTGTTCGGTGGATTCGTGGGTCCCAACCCTCGACTCCTCAACCCTTTTGAGCTCCGGTTTAAATTGCGCGAAGAAGATACCAATGCCGGGGAGCGATATCATATCATCGAGGTCCTGCCAACACCTGCCCTTCCTATGATGGATGTCGTGTATTGATTGACGGTTCAGGCCCGGGCCATCCGGGTACTGCCGACCAGTAGGGAATCAAAACGGCTTGCGGTACCTGCAGTGTAAGGTAAGGCGAGCATTGTTGCTCGCTGGCAATACCTGCCAAGCACTAACATGATCTTGTGCACGCCTCCGTTGCTGCCCCTGCTAGATCCAGAATTGGGCCTGGCCAGGCCAGACTCAACAAACTTCAGTGGTAGCGAGTCGGGTCTTCTGTGGCGTTCGTCTTCCCCGGCAGTATTTCATAGGACAGGCGTCAATGGTTCGGGTGGCACTGATGTGTAGAGGACGAAGTACGGAGTACTTAAGTCATGGCGATAAGAGTCATTGATACTGGAATGTGGAGCTCTCCTGCTTAGTGCTTGACCACTAAGAGCCAGTCCGGGCATAGGACACAGGAGCTCGTCAAACCCAAACCCCGACCGCCTCCAAGTACTAGGTACTTTTATCCAACAACCCAGTCCGCTGTACTCGGTACTCCGGACCTTGGGGGAGCTTCCCTGTTTCAGCTGCCACCACTTCCGCCCTGGTCAGTGCCTGTCCATCAAGGCAGTTGGCCGCGCACAAGGTACTTTGTAGCGTCTCCCGTGTGTCTCCACCCCAGATCACCTGGTAACGAAGCTGCCTGTTTCGTCACTGGTACTTCCCCAGTTTGGAACTTGCTCTCTCCGATCTTCCTTCCCTCCCGACAACAACAGCCACTCTCTTCCCTCCGCATCTTCCCCCCCTCCCATTTCCTCCTCTTCCCATACTCTCGTCTATCCATCTAACAAAAACCTAGGTTTTACTCTCACACTCTGGACCGTTCCTCGAGCGATCCCGTTTGAAACATCTGTAGCTGTTTCCCTCTATCACTCCCCCGCCTTCCACACCCGAACCCCTCCCAGTCCCCCAAATGAGGCTCGCCACATCCCTCGTGCTAGGCGCCGCCTCGACGGCCCTAGCCTTCGACGCCCAAGTACGCCTGGGCGCCGGCAACGCCCCCGTCGACAAGAAGCCCCTCAACGCCTGGGACACGATCCAGCAGGCCATCACCAAGGCCGGGTCCGAGGCCAAGGCGCTCTGGGACGAGGTTTCCCTCCTCGCTCCCGACGCCGTGGCCGCCTTCAAGTCGTCGGCCCTGTCGTACAAGCCTAAGCCGGCGAACCGTAGGCCCGATAGCGCGTGGGACCACGTCGTCAAGGGCGCCGATGTCGAGAAGATCTGGATGGCGGGCGGCGAGAGGGCCGTTGGAGGGCAGCTCGGTGCTTATAATCTTAGGGCGAGGAAGGTGGATCCTTCGGTTTTGGGGGTGGATAGTGTGAAGCAGTATAGCGGTTATCTTGATGATAACGAGAACGACAAGCATCTCTTCTACTGTAGGTCTTCCCTAGTTGTCAACCGCCCTCCGGGGAACCTGGCGAGCTGGTTTACTAACGCTTTTGATTGATAGGGTTCTTCGAGTCCAGGAACGATCCCAAGAATGACCCCGTTGTCCTCTGGCTCAACGGTGGTCCCGGCTGCTCTTCGCTGACTGGTCTCTTCCTCGAGCTCGGCCCCGCGAGCATCGACAAGAACATCAAGGTTGTCAACAACCCCTTCTCGTGGAACAACAATGCCTCCGTCATCTTCCTCGACCAGCCCGTCAATGCCGGATACTCGTACAGCGGCTCGTCCGTCACGGACAGTGTCGCCGCCGGCAAGGACGTCTACGCTCTCCTGAGCCTCTTCTTCCACGAGTTCCCAGAATACGCGAAGCAGGACTTCCACATTGCCGGCGAGTCCTACGCCGGACACTACATCCCCGTCTTCGCGTCGGAGATTCTCTCGCACAAGAACCGCAACATCAATCTCAAGAGCGTGCTGATCGGCAATGGTCTCACCGACGGATACACCCAATACGAGTACTACCGCCCCATGGCCTGCGGCGAGGGAGGTTACCCTGCCGTCCTCAGCGAGAGCGAGTGCCGCTCTATGGACAACGCCCTCCCGCGCTGCCAATCGATGATCAACAACTGCTACAAGTCGGGCAGCGCGTGGTCGTGCGTTCCCGCAAGCATCTACTGCAACAACGCCATGATCGGCCCTTACCAGAGGACAGGCCGCAACGTCTATGACATTCGCGGCGAGTGCGAGGACAACTCCAACCTCTGCTACCGCGGGCTTGGCTACGTCTCAGAGTACCTCAACCGCGCCGACGTCATGGAGGCCCTCGGCGCCGAGGTGTCCAGCTACGACAGCTGCAACTTCGACGTCAACCGCGGCTTCCTCTTCGCCGGCGACTGGTTCCAGCCTTACCACCGCCTCGTGCCCGAGATCCTCAAGGAGATCCCCGTGCTCATCTATGCCGGCGATGCTGATTACATTTGCAACTGGCTCGGCAACCAGGCGTGGACGGAGCAGCTCGATTGGCAGGGCAAGAAGGGTTTCAACGATGCCGTCATCGAGGACCTTCACGTTTCCGGCAGCAGCGAGAAGGAGGAGTCGTATGGTAATGTCAAGACGAGCGGAAACTTTACTTTCATGCAGATTTATCAGGCGGGACACATGGTGCCCATGGATCAGCCTGAGGCGTCTGTTGACTTTTTCAACCGCTGGCTCGGCGGTGAGTGGAATGCTTAAGAAGGTATAACCACTAAGTGAGAGCAAGCGAGAAGTTTTTCCTCTTTCTTTTAAGTGTTGGGTTCTTGGAAGTTGCTGAAGCGGTACACGGTACATTTGATGTGTAATTGTATGGGCGCCTCTGGTGCTGTGATTAAGCAGCGGTCTCTAGCTTGATCTGGATTGATGTTTTTCTTTCCCTTTTCCTTCTGGCTTTTTTGAACTTTCTTTTTTGTTTCTTGTTTTTCGAGATGTTCTTGGGGAATAATGCGTTTACCAGTGATTTTTGTTAGTACTACATGCATAGATTGGAATGAGCTTTTCATACGAAGTTGAGTCTTGCTTCGCAGTGGTTAGAGTGAAGATTGTCAATGTTGTCACGATAAGGTCTTAGGCACTGAGCAGTAGCTTTTGATTCCAAGAGCTTTGTAGAGTGGTTTCAGAGCAGTTAGAAAGGATTGACACAATTCACCATTTTCTGATGATAATTTCCGGATTTAAAATTCTGGGCATTGATCTGTACCTGTGTATAAACCGAGCTGTTGCAGGGAATGAATTGTCTGTCGTTGTCTTGAGCTTCAGCGATAGACAGAATACAGGACAAGTACAAGTACAAGGTCCAGCGGATGGAAGCTTGCCCTGGCTCTTCCTCAGTGCTCGGCAGCCCCAATCCCAGCATCCGTTTCTGGGCAAGGCTGAACAAGCTTCCAACATTTCCCTTCTCCAAATCCCACGCGCCCACCGCCAATCTCTCAAGTCTCTCTTGCTACCTCACCAAAACCACACACATCGCCAAACGCGACCAGACCAGCAATCTCCTACCATTTTCCAATCGAAGCAGATCTATCTACCACACTCGAACCGAATCTCCTTCCCACCAGCTAACCACCCTCACCCCTTCGCCAAAATGTCTACTATCCCCCCCTCCGTCCTCCAAAGCACCAAACCCCCCATCACCCCCCTCTCCTTCAACGCCAACCAACCCGCCACAATCCGCCTGTACCCGCTCTCCAACTACACCTTCGGCGTCAAAGAGACCCAACCGGAAGAAGACCCCTCGGTCATCGCGCGCCTCAAGCGTCTCGAAGAACACTACGGCGAGCACGGCATGCGCCGAACCTGCGAGGGCATCCTCGTCTGCCACGAGCACAACCACCCGCACATCCTCATGCTGCAGATCGCCAACGCCTTCTTCAAGCTGCCCGGCGACTACCTCCGACCCGAGGACGAGGAGTTGCAAGGGTTCAAGGCTAGGCTCGACGAGAGGCTGGCGCCTGTGGGTAGGTTGGGGGAGGGGGAGGAGGCGGGGGATTGGGATGTGGGCGATTGTTTGGCGCAGTGGTGGAGGCCGAATTTTGAGACGTTTATGTATCCGTTTATTCCGGCGCATGTTACGAGGCCGAAGGAGTGTAAGAAGCTTTATTTTATTCAGCTTCCGAAGAGCAGTGAGTTTCCCGACCCAGTCATCTTTTTTTTTTTTTTCTCTTTTTTTTACCCTAGCTGTTTGGAATTTCCCCCCTTCTCTTTTTCCTTCTTCTTGGCCTAGACTAACCGCCCAATCGCAGAGGTCCTCAGCGTCCCCAAAAACATGAAGCTCCTCGCCGTACCCCTGTTCGAGCTCTACGACAACACGCAACGCTACGGACCCCAGCTCTCGGCGATCCCTCACCTACTGAGCCGGTACAACTTCGAGTTCGTCGATGAGAACGGAAACATTGCGGCCATGACGCCCGGCGCTGCGCCTCCCGAGGGATACGTTCCGAGGACGAAGGTCTTGGCGGGTGGTGGTGATGATACGGAGATGAATGAGAATGGTACGAGCTAGAGGAAGGCGGGGTGGCTGTTTTATTTTTTTTATCTTACTCGAGATTTGGCGATTTCTATGCTTCGGAGAGAGAAGGAAGACGATTGAGAGTACAGTGAAGGAAAACAATAAGGAGAGGAACGACGAAAAAGGGCGGTGGGGGGTTCGAGATGGGCATGACAGCTCGTTGAGGAGTGAGAGTCGAGGAATATAAGAGGAAAAATCCTAGGAGTTTCTGGCGCAAGTGGGTATTGCAGCATCAAAGCATGTATGATAGAGAACTTGAAGATATGAAAAAGCTCTGTTACATCAAGCACTCTTTTCGTTTCTTTCTCTCCAGCAGCCCATAAATCTACTCACTCATAGCGATCTCTTTTTTTTTCTGTTCCTGTATCGTTTTTTTTCCTGTTTTGTACCTGCTACATGCCCTTGCCTCGTTTTCTATATCCTCGAGGTCGCGCGTTATCCTCTTATCCTCATCTCATTGATACTTCTCTCCCTGAATCGTCGCCACGATCTTGCGCGTGTGCTTTACGGCTCGGAACTCGAGGTACCAGATACCCTGCCACGTTCCGGTCGCCTAGTTCGTGGCGGGAAAGAAAAAGATGACGAGAATAAGTCGCCGCACGTTGGAGGGGGCCTATCAAGAGAGGAACATGGGTTTTTTTAACTTACAAGTTTTCCGTCCTTGATGGGGATTGTGACGCTTGCGCCGATGAGAGAGCTCTTGATATGCGCCTACACTTTTATCAGCAAAGGGGACAGATAAAAATAAAATAAAATGAAAAGAGATCCCAGACATACCGGCATATCATCTCTCCCCTCAGCACTATGCCTATACAGCTCCTCCCCCTTCTTCCCCTCGTACGGCGCAATGCGCTCCAGCGCATCCGTCATGTCATGCCTCACATCCTCATCCCAATTCTCATTCAAGCTCAGCGCGCAACTCGTATGCTGCACGAACAAATTCAACAGCCCGACTTTATACTCGGCTATCTCGGGGAGCTGGGAGAGCACGAGGTCGGTGACGAGGTAGGAGCCGCGGGCGCGGGCGGGGAGGCTGAATTGTTTTTGGAACCACATAGTCGTCGTCGGTGGAGGGGTTGTTGTTGTTGTTGTTGTTTTGCTGGGGAGGAAGAGGTGGGTGAGGAGGGTGAGCGGGAGGGTTGTTAGGGTGTGGAAGAGGTTGGGGAAGAAGGCGAGGGCGAGGAGGAGGATGATGAGGGTTGTTGAGAGGGCGGAGGTGGGTGTGGGTGTGTGTGATGGTGGCATTTTCCAGTGGATGTGGTTGATGAGATCAACGGAGCAATATTCATACGTAAGAGGATGCCCAGGCCTGTGGACGGGATATCAAAAGTGTATGAGCAGAAGGCCTTAACGCTGGCATTTGTTTTTGGCGGGGCTACCTTTGTACATAGCTCCGGGTTGGGCTGGGGACGGGAATGAACGCTTAAAGCTATTAATGATTGATCCAATTGCTCTTATTGACATCATTTTCGGTTTCGAGGCGAACAATCAACTCCTAAGGTTGTCTTGGTTTGCTGCCTCGGGAACCCAATTGCAGCTTCCTCGAAATATAACGTGAGCTGTATGTTCCCTTGCTTCTAGCTTCCATCTCGAAGACACCAGGCCTGAAAGCAAACAACAGACAAACCCCTCCACAACAATCAAGGCCCGATCCATCCCGTCTTTGTTTCACAGAAGGAGAAAAAAAAAAATCGGAGAATCGGAGAATCCGATGCAAGGCTGAATGAAATCTTTATGTTGTTTTTTTGATATTTACACACAGAGCAGACATTCCCTGTACCACTTCCACATTCTATAGAGCATCAGGGACAGCAGGTCTATTTCTCCCATCTAACTGTACAGCTCCCATCTCCTCGTCATCAACACAGCGCTCCCCTCCTCACGCTTTTGAGCCGTTTATTTAAGGGGGTAGGAAGTCTGAGGAAGAGACTCGAGGTGTTTCCTGTGGTGTTCGTTTGCCTATAATCATACGAGTTAGCCAACTGCAACTGTACATGATATCACACCTCTGAACCCTCCCCAGCCTAGAGCCCGGGACGAAACGTAGAGAAAGGAAAGCTCACGTAGGGGATTCCGCAATAGTTGCAAGTCGCAATCTCCGGCTTGTCGGTATTGATAAAGATCCTAGGATGACCGGTAGGGCCGCCACCACCATCACAGGCAACGATCCGGTCATGCGTCCACCTCACGGGCTGCTTATGGATGAGCTCGATAGCCGCGTACGGTTGAGGCTAGAGGAAGAAAACCCGCATTAGCAAGATTGGGCCACCAAAACAGAACCCAATTGACCTTCGTGATCTCCCACTATCCTTCCCTCCCCTTTCTACCCTCCACACCCGCGAAAACAACTCACCTGCACAGCAAAGTCCGTCTGCTCGAACCTAGGCCCAGTCATAGCCTCAGCCCTCGGCCTCTGCCCCTTCGCCCAAACACCAACCCTGTTGGGAGCCTGCTGCGTAACGGCCTTGGAGCCCTCGGCCTCGACGGGAGCCGCGGCGGGCGCCTCCAATTGGCGCACGGTGGTCGTGAAGGTTCGGACGGGCACGCGCAGGCGGCGCGAGAGACCGCCCAGCGTTCGAAGTGAAGCGGTCGACATGGCGTGTGGGAAAAGCGTTGGCGTCCGCTTTTCGTTCTTTTGTCGGTAATCGGGGGGGATCGTTTTGAGCTTTAAAACCGCTCCGATGGCTCCAATTGATGATTCGAGATGGCTGAGGAATTGCAAGGTTCTGATGGGCTGTCGGATCTGGTCACGTGGGTTGCCAGGCGGCTGGCCCCACCTGAAGCTACAGAGTACACAGGTACTTCGAATGTTGGCTCTCGTTCCTCATCAGCTCTCGTTGCACTCTTAATGACCTCCAAGACCAAGCAATACATTTATGGATTTCCTTATTTTTACCCAGCTTTACTACAACCTTCACTGTGAAAATCACCGCATCGAGACCAATCATAAAAATTCTATATCGGTGTAGGCGGCGTGGCAAGCTAGTCGGGGCAACAGCAATCTACAAAGCTCAATCTCAGCTTGTATTTACCAAGGAGGACAGCCAAGGGCAAGAGAGAAGGACCAGTCTGGCTTGTTATCCGAAGCACACGATCTCACCCATAGATTAGTAGTAACAGGCCAGGACCGACATTAAGTCTCTCATGCCACTGCTTAATCTTCCATAAAAAGATGTTTGCTTTTATTGTCTTCTTATCTCGTAACTTCACTCTACTTCGACCAGCAACACTTGCTATCCCAATCCTTCCACGGCCCAGCTGGCAGATGAAGCTATTCAGAGTCGGAATTGGGCAGCTGGACCTTATCTTCGATGAGATGGCGGATATCGGCCAATTCCAAGTTGTTCCAGAAATGCTGCAAGCTCTCCTTTCGGGAAGGGGGCTTCGTGAGTCCGTCAGCGGCCATGTCCCTTGTTTTCGCCCAAAAAATCGGCCTCGAATCGAAATGGGCTGCAATCCTCAAAGAGAGCTCCATCGAGCAGTGAAAGGATGACACCCAAGCCCACTTTGATATGATGGAAAAAATGGGACATTCTATTCCTGTTCTTTGCTTCTGAACTTCCTATCACAGCCAGTGACGATGGATGTCGACGTGACGAAGTCTTGTGTGAAGTCGCGCCGAGCTCTTTAGTCCATAAGCCTATCGTTTGGAGGCTATCGCACAGTAGGCGGGGACCATGATCGAGCTTGAGACCGATGTCGCCGAATAATCGTGCCATCGCGTACTATTCCTTTGCGGCCGACAAAATCGCTAGCAGTTCCGCTTCGGCTCTGAGCCTAGAATCGCTCTCCCAAGCTCATCATCCTCGAAGAGCTTACTTTCCTCTTTCATAGGCACTTTCCCTAGAAAGTATTTTCGCTATAGCACTCGAACGAGCCGCTCGAGCTATCATATTGGCAAGCGTAGTGTTTGGTTGACAGCAGATATTTGATACAGTGGCCGGCAGCGGTCATATGGGTCATATCGAGCTGCCATTTGCTCGATATATTCGCCCATAGTGAGCCACAGTTTCCTGTTGGCTCTGTCGCGGATGATCCCGATCTGTAGGAACCAAGTGACATCGTTTCCACCGCTGGGTTTGACGCGTTCCCTTCGGCACGTCATGGAAATGCTAACTGAGCGTCCATTATAGACTTGAGGCCACATTTGGAGGTCTATAGCCACATAGCCGTAGAGTTGGGAGGTTCGGATGGGCTGAGGGACTCTGGAAATCACTTGTGATGCCTTTGCAAGCGAGCATGCTTCGCATTCGGATGTGGTGATGCCTTGAACTTTGATGCCAAGTCCTCTCTCGATTGCCTTTTCCAGAACATCGGGTCCAGGGTGGATGAGACGTCGATGCCATGTTTCAATGTCCGTGGAGGAAATAATCCTTTTCTTCGTGGAACGGAGCGTGCCAACTAGGTCTGGTGGCTCTGCTTCGCCTGCTTTAGCTAAGGCCATGAGTGTGCCGGCGCGTGACATATCCATATTTGTCGAACTTATACTTGTAAACCCATTTTAGTGGGATAGGGAAGGATTCAGCGCTGCTCCGAGAGACTAATTGGTATGTTCCCAGCTGCTTGAGCGCCTCGAGCTCCGCTAGCTCTGCTAGCTCTGCCTTTTTCCATTCTTCGGCGAAGAGATGCCTCATAGCTTCGTGATGGTATCTTGGCTCGACAGGCATGTCCCGCGTATGCATCTTCTGCCTTACTTCTGTCACAATGGTTGAGTATATTCCTCCAAGAGCTCTTCTTCCGAATTTAGCTAATGTTTCTTCGTTTTCGCGGGCCTTGGCACTCTTTCTAGGGGCACGGGACGATCGTCTGCTGCCCGTGATGTTTCGTTGTATTACTTGTGGCTTCCTCGGGGCGGCTTGACGGGACCGCTGGAATGCTCGTGGTTTCTAAGACGCTGCTCGTCGCCTGCTCTGGAATGCTCACAGCTTCTTCCCTCTGAAATGGGTGCATAAATACAAATTCGACAAGCATGGCTATATCGAAAGACGTAAAGCCAGACTGTGTGAGGGGAGACATCCAGCCCGAATATGGAGAAGATGCCTTTGCCGCCACGTTACTGATCGTGTTACATCTGAATGACTGTGAGGTCTCTGATAATACACATCACTGATAGGACTCATAGCGCAGAGAGCAGCCATGAATTCATTTCTTTTTCCCTCTAATATTCAACAGTTAGGCATAGATCTCCACTTAGTACATGATATAGGTACGACTTACCCCCGGAACCCTCGCGTCAAGCTGTCCAGCAGTGGTGAGAACATCGGTTCCGAGAACTGGGCAATGCCACCGGTTGTCATTTGCGCCGCCGCGCGACTGTGGGGTGACCAGGACAGCCGGGGGCGCTGCGCTGTGAGCCGAACGGCAAGGGGCAAGGAATAAGAAGTGTGATTCTTGAGACACTTTCCAGCTCAGTTGCGTGCGCAACGTGCTCCTCTTTATGCGAGAGGTGAGCTCCATTTTCGTCGTTCTCGGCTTATGTCAGCACATGGTGTGAAAGTATCAGAATGCATCAGAGTGCTTTGGCTTAGGGTTATCCTCTCCAACTTATAAAAAAAAAAGCAATTGTTCTCGTCCAAGTTTTTTTATCATCTGATGATTCGGATCTTTCCTATTTTCTATATATCTCTTCTTTGCTTGTACGACGCTAGGAAGTTTGTTTTATCCAGAACTGCAAGAGGGAAGAGGGGAAGTATGAGAGCTACCTGCGTCGATAACAGGCCGTCCTTTACAGATTCTCTGTATAAGTTGTCGGCGATGACAGCCTATCTCTGGATATATTGAGACGTTTCTTCAGATATCATGAGACTACATTTAATGAGGTATATCGCCCTGCGTCCACAGATGCCGCCGTTTCCGCGGTACACCGACACGAGAAGGCAGCATGACGACGGCCGAGACGCGTAACCCAAGAAGACAACTGTAAACACGAAGATTGGACGACAAAAAGAAAGGTATCTATATGCCTGTGTACGAAGTATAGACTTCAATCACTCTTCCCAGACTCCATGGAGATCTGCACACCCTGGAGAGCAATCTGAATCACACTCAACACCAAACTCAACCCGCCCAGAATAGAAATAAGCCAAAATGTCCACCACTGCAACTTATCCCTCCTATCCCTCAGCAAATCCTTTATCCCCTTCGGCTTCCTTCCATCCAGCTCCTTCGCAAGCAGTACGACCCGCTCACAGAGAACGGGGAAGTGCCTCGCGGCAAAATACACGGGGTGGTCCTGCGGAAACACGTCGTCCCCAGCCTCGAGGTCGAGACTCTTCGCCGTGCAGAGGATGCTCAAGAGCGTATCTGGCTGGTCGAAGGGTAGGTCGGCGGGGCCGCTGATCCGCTGGAAGAGTTTCCGGGATTTGGCGTGCTGGCCGAAGAGCAGCCGATATGAGAGTAGTACCTCTTTGAGAAAGGAGCGGATGTCGTCTGCGTTGGCTCGAGGGTCGACGGGAGACCCCTCGTGGTTCGCAAAGGCGAAGATGGCGCCGCCATGCTGGAGGGCATTGGCGCATATAGAGGGGAAGGCGAAGAGGGAGAGTGTTCGGGTTTCTTTGTCGTAATCTAGGTGTAGAGCAAGGGTATCTACCCAGCGGAAGGAAACCTTCATCACCCCCTGGAGAAATTGGGCGTTTACTTCGTCTGGGTAGAGAGGTGTCCAACCTGCGGCAACCCGGACCGTCTCGGATGCCGACTGTGTCGAGCTTTCGGAACGGCCCGGTAGGAGGTTTCCGAAACATTTTAGAAGAATGCTGAGTGGCCTGTTGCACATATCGATTGGGACCCGATACGTATCAAAGACGAGCCCTGAGTCGGGCTGGCTCGCTGCTTTATGAATTGCTAGGCTGGAAGGGCCACATGTGTTGAACGCCGGCTGGTAAAGCATGGTCCGCCATCCTAACAGCGTAAATACAACCTGGCGCTGCCTTGCTAGTTGACGACGGAGGTCAGGGCAGGACTTTTCAGAGGGCTCGGTGAACATTCCTTCCACAATCTCGTCGAGGGTGAGATTGTCATCGGTTTCGAGATATTGTTCGAGATGGGAGAAGAGCGCGGTAGTGTCTTCTTGGGTTTTTAGCGTACGACTTGTTGAAGGCACCAGATCCCTCAGGTCCTTTGGAAGGGCATCTAGCTGCCTTGATAGCCAGGGCGGGTACCAATCGAGGTCGACAATAGCTAACTGAGGGTGCGATCTCCGTCGCGATTTCACAGAGCTGAAGGAACTGAAGCGCCGAGAGCGTTTGTTCCGGAACGTGCTAGGTTTTAGCTCTTTCCGTGCGGTAGTCCAGCCTAGGCATAACAGTTGACTGGTGTTAGAATGGAGGCTGGGCATGAATGGTGTCAAGATCAATCCGTCCAATGTCGACACATTGGAATGGGCCATTTACAGAGGCCGGATGGTAGAGTCTTACGCTGAGTTATTGACTGATGCCCTGGCGGCCGGACAGAAGCATCTGCTCCAGTGCCGGTCGAGCTCGTTTCCATCTCGATTGGCCTTCTCATGCTTTTCTATGACAATAATAATCTCGAGGATGATTTAATGTTTCCTGCATTGCCCTACTCCACACTGCATATATATATATATATACCGGCGAAGGGTGGGCTCTTGAATTGAAGCTGGTGGCTTAGACGCCATTTTTGCCTGACAAGGGGCAGTGTAAAGGATCGCACTCAATGCGCTTCGATAGAAAGGGTTGTTCTGGACCTATTGGTCTCAAGGCAGGGCCCGGGCCGCCGGGAACTATGAGTTGGTTGGAGGCTGTAGCGCCAGGCTGCACCTCGCTGCACATCTCCTGCGGCCTTCGCGGGACCCGGACAAATGGGCGGGACGGGACGGCTCCCGCCTAGAAGTTCGCCTTCGACTCGCATGGGCGTTTCTCCTTGGCTCGAAAAGAAAAAAAAAAAAAAAAAAAAACATGAAAAAAAAAAAAAAAAAAGAAATCATCAATGTAATAAGGGCTTTGATGCTTAGGTGGAAGCGAGACTCTATCCCTCACCAAACCGAGACAGCATCACTGATTGGCAGACTCACTTCTTCGAAAGCGCTTTCAATGCATCCGGCTGTGCAGTCCCCAAATGCAGCCTAAGCTCGACATTCAAGGGGAGGCTTTCCACTTCGTCGACCTCGTCAAGATTCTATCTGGTGTGTCCAAATACACAGAGTCAGAGGGGATAGTACCAAAGGCGCAGATATCAAGCGTGGGGAACATGTCGCACAGGTCTGGTACATGGCACTCCTCGCCCCGGTGTCCTTAGGGAAAATTTCCGATTCCGAGATATACAGCATCGAGTGGGTTGAGTGGGTATCTCAAGTCTAGCATATAAGTGAACTCCCAGGTCAATTTAATCTCGTAGTAATTACAGCTCTAGCATAGACAGATCGGGCGAGACTAGGAAAGGACATACCTGCACTGGGCATACGGGTTTTCCAACCCTGTCTTCAGCAATAGATTGACGAAACGCCCCCTAATAAGGCGCCGGCACGTCAATAACTTGGCCATATCTACTTTGATCTTCGCTCGACCGAAAGCAGCTCTTCTTCATGGGCCCTGCTGTTAGGGAGGAAATCAAGAACCGGGCTCTACGTCCATCGCAGGCTGGTAAGATGCTCTTTCTTACACTCACTCTGAACTCAGAGATACCTCAAGTGCCTTCAGTTAGCCAGACAAGCGACTGATGATACATTCCGTCAACGATCCTCCGACGAGGACTCACGCTAAAGTAATCTACATCATGACGTATATGCAAGCCGAGGAACCAGAAAAGTCCTTTGCGACTCTTCGGATGAACTGGGATCTCGCGGGCCTCAGCCGAGACGAGGTAAAGAAGTCCAGGTACCCGAAGCACAGTGGCGACGTCATCCCGCTGTCGCGGATCTTACGACTACAAGGCCGCAAGGCCGAAGCCGAAGCACACGAGTTAGCGTCGCGTACCGTTCTCATGCGTAGGGGGACTTATGGCTAGAACGCCGGCCCTCGCGTCGCAGACTCTACACTCCTCGTCTCGCAGATGCTGCGTGAAAAGGGAGAGAATGTTTTTGGCGGCCAAGCTGCTTCGTGAGATCATCGGCATGGGCGGAAGCACCGAAGAGATGATGCCGCACTTGACGAGAGCATTATGTTTTTTTTTTTTTTTTTTTTTTTTTTTTTTATATATATATATATATATATATATTTTTTTTTATATATATATATATATTTTTTTTTTTTTTTGGCTGGTATCGAGAAGGAAAAGCGGCGATGAAGAGGATGAGTGGAAGGACTTGGCGGTGGAGGGCCAAGGAAGAAAGGGAGAAGATTGCGCACAGGGAGTGGCCGGATGAAGATACGGACGAAAGCTTCAAGAAGCTTGTTGGCTGGCTGCTGTGGTGAAAAAAAAAAAAAAAAAAAAAAAGGGGGGGGGGGGTTAGAAAACGAATCAAGGTGCAAGTGATGCAATAGACGTAGCAACTGGCGAGAGCCTCACGTCCTGTTTCTCTTCTTTCGTTTCTTAAAGATACATATGTTCCTCCCCTCCTGTCGTCTCTCAAGGGGTAACTTCAAAAGAACCGTACCTCGAGACCAGACCTAGAACTCCCCAACCGTGTAGTCAACAACAATAGCCTTCTCAACAACAGTCCCCGCAAACGCAATGAAACCCTGGTGAATAGGATCCGTCTTGACATAGTAATCCCGATCCTCCACCGACTCGAACTCAACAGTAAAGGCATGGGTAATTCCATCCTACAACCTGCCGTCAGAGTCTCTGCAAAATGCCGAGGCAGTCCACAGGACGAAGTCGGAGCTCGAACTCACCTGAATTCCTTCGGGAGAATGGTCCTTTCCTCCTGTTAACGACAGGATGTACGGCTTTTGAGAGGTCGGGTGTAGGCATGTATTCTTGAGAGCCAACATTTTCGCGCACGCCTTTCACGTTCTTTGGATTAGTAGGGAGAAGAATACAGACAGGGGGATCAATGTGAGAGACGAACCTCGCTGATCCCTTCTGGGCTGAGCTCAGGCTTGAACTGGAACAAAACGAGATGGAGGACGGTCATCGCGCTCGGAAGTCGTTGAGGTTGTCTTGGGTGGGCAAGATTGAGAGAGATGGTAAATCTAGAGTAGAGTAGTGGTCGTGCTTGTGGCGCTGGGGGCTGTCGATGGTGCTATCTCACTCACTCGGACTCAACTGGGAGTTTAGAGAGCGTAAAGTCGTTGTCGATGTGTTGCGGGGAAAATCTGCAGCACTCTCGTTAGAAGCTGTTGGTCGAGAAAAGGACGAAGCGGGGTGCCAAGGGCACATCAACGTCATGTAACTAGACCCGACCGGAATCTCTGGTCGAGAGAGAATCGTCCTGTTGTTCCGTCTTAAAGCTCACCTCACACATCCGGAGAATTCACACTCAGTCGACGCCTTCATCGCTTCACCATTCCACTAATCTACTCCAACAGAAGTCTCGGTTGCATGTCCCGCGCTTGTTTCTCGGCATCTACCTGTCTATCTAACCGCCCAACATCAAATCTCTACCAATCAACCATCACCGTCTATCACCAACACACTCTCGAAGCCAACAGCGATGTAAAGTATTATAAAAAGGGCAAGAGAAGAAAAAGGGACGACGTCGGCAACCATTCACACTAACATTCGCTGTACGAAAACAACAACAACAACAACAAGAAGAAGAAGAAGAATAAAAACGAGAAGAAAAAACACATTCAAGAAACGAAGTTAGATAAACCCCTCCGTCGCTCCCGCCGCCTGCACCTTTTTTTTTTTAACCCTTTTCCCTCCATCACGTTCAAAGTTAGCTCTTCCTTCTCCACCTCTCATCTCATAGCTTCGCATCTATCTCCTCGTACTCCGTAATATCCCTCGCCGGCCTCGCCCCAGCACTCGCCACCAACGAAGCCTTGAATGCCCTGACGTCCGTAATCAACATCGGCTGCTTCTTGGTCACCCCGTTGACGCCATTGCTGAGGCCATTCTCATCTCTACCGTTGACCGCCTCGCCCTCCTCCACCTCCTTAGGCTCCGTCGCGGGATCCCTCGCTACGGAGACGACGGCTTCGACCTTGTCCTCGGTCAGCCCGAGCTCGTCCGAGAGGTACTTGCGTAGCGCCGGAACGTCGCTCCTCATCTCGGGGTCCATGATCGCCGAGCGCACGGCTTCCTTGACGTCGGCTGGCTCGACGGACAAGTGGTTGCTGAGGAGAGTATCCATCTTCTCCTTGGACTTGGCGTTGCCTTGGGCGAAGAGCTGGACGATAAGCTTGGCTCTCGTGGGCGAGGCTACGTCGATGTATTTCTTGTAAAAGTCGATGATCTCCTCCTTTGTGAGTGCCTTGACGTGCTCGGCATTTTCTTGCGCTATTGTGTGCCATCACCGTTAGTAAGGACAATCACAACGACATGGGAGAGAAAGAGGGCCCTGAAAAAAAAAAAAAAAAAAAAAAAACCTACCTGCTCCAAAGTTGTAGTACTCTGCCGAAATCTGGTTCCAGTGCCTGCTGCTCTCCGAATCCAAATTCTCCAACTTCTTCAAAAGCCTCACCACAAGACTGCGCTTATGATTCTCAAAGTCCGCGTCAGTCATCTTCTCGAGGTAGTCACCAAACGAGCCCACAAATGCGTCAACACGCGATTCGAGGTACTGAGGTGTGCGTTCGCTCTGCACAAGCCAGCGGAAGCCGTACGTGGTCGCGAAAACGCGAGCCCCGCAGAATACAATGTATCCGAGTTGCTCCTTCGTCCTCAGCTGATCGAACGCCGGCTCGTGCATAACCTGCTCCAAGAAGAGTGTCCGGGCGCGCGTGACGGGATCGCCGCGGTCGCCAGTATAGATCCAGTACTCGATGCAGTGGTTCACGTTAGCGGGGTCCTTAAGGGTCTTCTTGTAAACATAGTTGGAGCCTGGAGGGAGGACGAGGGACCGTCGGACAGGCCATTGGGTTCGCGGGAGCAAACGTGGACTAAGGATCGATTGTACCATATCCGTCAATTGTAGGGCGTCCTCCTTGCACATGTTGCCATGGACGTAGAGCTCGATGTGCATCTGGCCCAAAAGCTGCGGCTTGAAGTATCTGAGGTCCTCGGCGGTAATGTTAGGTAGCTCCGCGGCGTATTCTTCAATAATGTAGCCTTTTTCAGAGTTGAGCCAGTAAAGATAGTCGCCGATCTGATGATACGATGACTGAAGCTCCCAATTATTGTAACCCCTCTTAAGCCGTTCCTTGATGATATCGAATCTGTCATCCTTAACCTCCAGATCCCGGACTGTCTTGAGAACTTGTTCGAGAAGAACTGGGAGCTTGTCGTTATAGCCGCTCAAGTCGAAAGAAAGACCCCTCGAGTCTAGCCCCACGTTGTAGTCCAACCCAGCCAACTCAGCGTCGTATGAAAACTCCTCGAGGGCATCTCGAACGAGGTCCGCGTATAGCCTTGTCTTGACCGTATTCTCCACCGAGGCGAAAAGAACCGGGTTCTTGCAGCTAATGATGAGGTTGGCCCTCGGGACCCAGAATGTGTCGTCCTTCTTCCACCACGTGCGCACTAGATCGTCATTACGAACAACCGCCGGGGCGATGGCGGGTTCCTTGACCTCTTTCTTCTCCACCTCCAGCTTCGTAGGGATAAAGTTGTTCTTGTGAGGAAGATGTAGCGCCGGAAGCCGGTTCTCGGAGGTGCACTTGATAGCTTGCCTGAGCTCCTCCATGAAGTCTTCTGGAATCTTCTCAACCTTGTACTCAGTTCCGTACCACTTTTCCTTTTGGTCCCAGTCTCCAGGGAATCGCTGCGAGATAATCGTCATGCGGAAGTTGTCCGTGCGCAAGCAGTCGATGGTCTTCTGGATAAGCTCGGGGTCGAATTCTCGGAGTCGGCTGAATCCACTGAGAAGCCACTCTCTGGGGATAGGCTTCTGCATCAAGGAGCTCGTCTTCATGGTAAATCTACTGGCGGGACTCTTTTGCTTGAACTTGAATCCAACTTCGGCGATGCCCTTTTGCTCCTCGAATATCCATTTCTGGGGTGGCGATTCGCGCAATAGAGAGACATATTGGAAAAATACCTTGACGACCTCCTTGTAGTGTTTAAGACCCTGGACTAAACGTTAGAATTTTTTTCCTCCCCTACTATAGAAAGAAATTATACACACCTCTTCGGTAAGCCGAATCTGGCAGTCAAAGATTCCTGGCGTGCCAGGGCAAACAGGATACGTGCCTGCACTGAGTCCATTCGCCCATCCTTTGGCCTTGATATATGACATGATGCTGCCAGGACCTTCGTGGCCAATGAGATGGCCCACATACCGGCTCGGCTGGCTCATGTACATATTTTCTTCATCGAGGAAGGGAAAATAAAGGTTAAGCTCCCTAGAGTCCATAACTGGCTTCGCAAAGCATTGCAGTCCAAGCTCGCCCGGTCGCAGGGGAACCTCATCCTCCCATCGGTTGATGGGCAAATTCTTGTTCGGAACCGGAGTGAACAACTCAACAACCCACTTCTCTAGGAGATCTAGAGGTTCTTTGCCTAGCACGCAGAGCTTCATCCGGTTCGCCGAGTAGTGCTTCTCATAGAACTCGATGAACTTCTCGCGGACGTTGATTCCGCGCGCCTCGGGATCGTACTTTAGTACTTCGAGATTTCCTGTCGAAAAGTGGCAGTACGGATGGTTCGGGTTCGACAGCGACTTTTCGAGCTGGTACAAGCGCCACGAGTCGTTTTGGAGGTTCTTTTTGTTCTCGGAATCGACGGCCTTGAGTTCCCGGTCGAGAGTCGATTCAAGAAAGAGCGGTTGGACGAAGAACTGCGAAAATCGGTCCAAAGCACCTCGTAATGGCGACGGGTTCGACTCTGACGGATCCTCATCGTTGGCGGGCTTCGCGGAGATGTCAAAGTAGTAGTTGGTGGAGGTTGACGCCGTGTAGGCGTTGGAATGGCCCGAGTTCGCCGACAGGTACTGCGAGTAGTCGTTCTCGCCGGGGTATTTTTTGGTACCCATAAAGAGGAGCTAAAAGCCGCGTTAGGGTCAGAACGTTAAAAAAAGAAAAAAAATCTCCAAGACGGTGCAATGGGATAGAAGGCATAGGTGCTGCCGCAACACCGCATGCGCCTCCTCGAAAGCCAATCCTTACATGTTCTACCGCGTGGGCCATGCCGGGCATGTCCACTTCGTCGCTGAAGTTGCCAACGTTCACGTCCATCGATGCACTAGCCTTGTCTGCCTTGGGATCATGAACCAACAGCACCTCCATTTCGTTCGCTAGCTGGATAACCCGGTACGACCGATCGTCCAGTAAAGGCTTCTCGAGGGCCTCGGTAATGAGTCGAGCCTTGCCTTGCGCCGCAGGGGCTTGCCATGTATCGGAAGACGTCATTGTGTCAGAAATTGGCTGGGCTAGGGCAGTTTTGCTTGGAGCTGATGTATTCAAGAACTGCTTGCGAGGCAGATTCGAGTTGGACGGGAGAAGGTGGGCAACCGCCAGGCCAGGGCGGGTAAAGTAAGCTGGAAGGATACCGTGGCAGTGCGGCTTACTCGGTACGACGGTCGCACGGTAATACGAAGATGCCGAGGAGTGAAGAGGTCGGCTAGGTAGCAGGCGTGTGCCGGAATTGCTTAGGAATAGAGACCTAGGGTGAGGTTGCGGTTCCTGAGATAGGACCGACCGAACAACAGCGCAACAGGCGCGATGTGTAGAAGTGAAACAACGAAGGATGAGTGGAGAGGTGCGACCAATGCGCAGTGAAAGTTCCTGTGAGAAACGTATGCCAAGGTGACCTGAAGAGGTCAGCAGCGGCGTTGAAAGGAAGCGGCTGATGGGAGTCAGTGTGACGGACAGCAAGGACGAGACTTGCTGAGCTCAACGGATGTGTAGGAGAAGGAATGATGGAAGAGGGAAAGGAGAAAGAGAAAGAGAGAAAGAGAAAGCACCGGTTAAGAGGGAAACCTGCATCAGTCAAGACGGGAAGGGCAGGTGTCTAGAACGGTGTTAGGTCTAAGGAACGGAGCTGAGAGCATGGGAGGGGAGGGTGTCTCCAGAGAAGGATTGCCCACGGAAGCTTCCAAGTCCCAGAGTTGAGCTATAATACAAGCCTTAGTTGGTGGGCCGGATTAAACAATCAAAGACCCCTAGACGAGGGAGACACGGGTAGATTGTTTCGCCTTGAGCCGGGAAAACTTGTAGAGCGGCTCATAAAACGGAACAGAGAGGAAAGAGATGAAGGAGACAGCCAGCCTGCCTGGGATGAGCGTAGCGGGGCGGAGGAGCTTATGTACGGAAGTATGTAGAATCTCCAAGTTGAACAGGGCGGGTTGGGCGGTAGCAGCCTTGTCTGGGGATGCAGCGCTGGCTATCTGACGGAGGGTGGCGAGAGACACCACAATCTCCCGAATGCTGGCTGTTGGGTAAGGCGGCTGGGGTCTGGGGAAGTTCTCCCGTGATGGCGAATACTCTAGAATTGCAGAAATATTAAGGATGGGCTGGGGTTGAGAGAGGGAGAGAGGAAGGGGAAAGGCGGGAGAGAAAGAGATCAAAATGAGATGGCGACTGAGATAGGTGAGGCAACATAAGCTGAGGAACCGAAGAACCTTAGTTTTGGGAGATCAAATCTACTTGGAATGGTGTGCAAACGGCGGAGTCTGGGCATTGGTGCTGTACAAACTACAAAGTACATCAATTCTATTGATGTATCAATGTCGTATTAGTTGATCAAGATCAATTAGGACTGCCAGCTGTGGCCAGAGCCGCCTGGCCGCACCAAGACATCAAAGAACAAACACCGAGTGGGACAGACAAACCGGACCAGCTGGGGGCGCGGGGCTATTGCAAGGGAAAGCCAGCTCAGATGTCTAATGAAATATCTAGATTACTTCGTACACATCCATGGCTCTGTTCCCAAAAAGCAGGGTCCTTGAGGCATTCCTTCAAGGCCCCTTGCGGTGGCTTGATGGCGCATCAAGACAATGACGAGGTTGGTCTGGCCTCTTCTCCTCAGTGGGTGGGACCGTGATGGACACTAGCAGGAGGTTTGGCCATCCCCATTGGCCCTAGCCAGGCCCAAATGTACCTCTGTACATAAGTCGGACAGTAAAAAAGTAGTGTACTTGGCCACTGTGGGGTGGCAATTAGCGCCCTTCGATTAGGGCTTGAGCTACAAGGGTACCACAAAGGATTGACGTCTGGGTGAATACTCTGTAATTTGGACCGCCCTTCAGATGGGTCCATCTAGCTGGTATCATTTGGATTGATATTTGGAAATCAATTCCATTGATAACTCCGAGGTCTATTGTCCTTCAAGCAAAAAGGTACATTGAAGAATGCTTAACGGACCTGCACTAAGAGGTACCTTGATATGTTTGATTGATCTCCCACCGTTTAGGTCTCCTTACTTCGTCGGCTCTCAATTTCTCGCTTCCTCCATTCCTACATTGTCAGATGAGACCAATGATGTTGTCGTACTTCATGGTTTGTCGTTGGGGCGAGTTGATGAGTACGACAAACATGGGTATCTTGATCCTTGTGCTGGGGTAGCAATACGCGAAGGGGGTACAGAGCTCACGGAAGCCGCCTCAGTTCGAAGGCCTCTTCCCACATGTGATTCTAAACTAATACTCGTACTTCTCGATGTTCTCAATATATTTCCCAGGCTTGTGAGGAGCTCCAAGGGTAGGACCAGGCCCGGAAGGGGAGTGGACGTACAAAACTACCCCACAAACTTTACGATACTCTACTTCGTAAGTAGTATTCAAGCACACTCATCACTACCCTGGTGTTGTGAGAGTACAAGTAAGCTGCAGCCATCTGACACGGGGTTTATGTACTTCGTAGTGTAGTGTAGCCCCCCTGGAGTGTACGAAGTAGTGCAGTGTAGCTGGCTTTCTCGTCAGACCAGCAGCGTCGTATCAAACTAGTCAAGGCAACGTCGATCTCGTCTGTGTGCGAGAGCCGGAAACGCCAACCGAGATGCCCATTTAATAGTTCCAAGGTACGAAGTAAAGCAAATATATAAAACCAATCTCAACGGCTCAGAGGAAGGGGGTAAAAAGGGATTGAGAAAAGGGAATTAAAAGTGATGGGCGGAATGGGTGCATGGTTGGATGGAACTCTCCAGAACAAATCAATAGTTCGGATTGAGCCTTCATCCTCAACGAATTGCGACGCTCCTTCCCCGAACAGGGTATCGCTGACTGAAAAGTACGACGTATATTTGAATCCGCATTCCCCATGTACAATAGAGTTAGTTCCCTGTCTTAGACGTGCGCCTCATTAACAGCCTCGCAAATAAGACGCCTGGCCTGGATGATGAAATATATCTGGACCAGGCCAGCAAGGTGGTCGCGACCGGAAGTGGGTCAAGAGACGCGCAAGTACCCGTTGCCATTCTCGTATGAAGTACAGGTGTGAAGCACATCGATAGAGAATGACGGACACGAGTACGACGTCGTGTAAATTGTCGGTCCAGAATTATATCCACAGACATTGGATAACTCCTTGATAGGAGGTAGGTCAGCAGAGTTCTGGAGCCTGCGACATTGGCGAGATCGTAACTTCTCACACACTTACGCCCAGGTTTTGCCCATCCATAGATTGCGTCCACGTCCACGGGGTAAAGGGGGGGAGGGGGCGAGGTAACCACCTCCGGCCAGAGCCTGGGCCGCTAGTGCCAACGAACGTTTTAGCTTGGCCAAGGTTGTGGAGGTTCACTTCGTACGCATACTTCGTACGAAGTCCAAGACCTCTTCCTCCTTGTACTAGTGTAGTGTTCTGGTCACATGTTGGGATCTTTTTTCGGCAAACGTACTCCGTAGTGGAGGTCTTTATCTGACGGATCAAGATGACTCCCAAACGCTTGGATGAAGGAAACTAATCTACCACGAGCGTGGTGTGCTAGACTGGTGGATCCTAGAGTGATCTGGGGCAATTTCGCGCGGCACGCGCTGCGCACACTCTAGAGATGGGGACTAACGGGACGATGGTGCGGTTTAACGGGGTCGCCGGTCAGGTTTACACGGGAGTATATGGCCAGTTAGCCAGTGCATCGCCAGGTTTCTGCACTTTCTAGGGATTTGATTTTTCCTACAGGTTTCTGGGTGGCAATAGGCAAAGAGCGTAGCTTGGTCTCACGGACGGAAACTCCAACTCAGGCAAAACCCAATATCTGGAGCTGTTGATGATCACCAACAGCAGTAGTTTACGATACACGTGTGTGTCGTGGGATACAAAGGCGCCATTGACCCGCTTCGTCCTCGACCCTTTATCGTTCCTCATCCTTGAGAAACCCCACATATTTTATTCGGGTGACGAGGCCAACCGTGGCTCCTAGTGCAACGTCCCTCGGGATCTAGTGAGAGGATCGCAGGCATATGATTGATTCAAGCCTGGCGTGTCCCGATGGATGTTGTCGTCAAGCCCCGTTGTTCTTAATGGCGGTAATACACATGCGCTCGTTGATAGGAGGACATATACGGATGCACCGAACGAGTGCTTCGTAACACCACAAGTATGTTGTTGGTACGGGACATGTGCTGCGACCTGCAGGTCTGGCCGATGGTACATAGATGTGATCAAACAAATGTGTGGACCTGGTTCGGCGCCTGCACTTGCATAATCGTTGGTATGTAGCAACTTCTAATTCTGTGCCGCCAGAGGTCGCAGGCTGATGGACCACCTGGCTTGGCCAGGCCAGGCGGCCGTTTGCCTAAAAATACCCTATCCATACTGTCGGGTCGGACTTGCTCCGTCCCCCAGTGTCAGATTATTCCCGACGTCGTCACAACGGGTCTCCATTACCCTCGCTCGTTGGGTCCCGTAAGCGCTAGGAAGCGTGATATGACAGATCAAGCTGCAGCTCTTGCAGGATCATTTCATCTAGTGTATATTTAACAATGGGGTAAAAAAGAAGAAGAAAAATAAAATAAAATAAAAGGCATCAAGAACTCAATCAAAGTCCTCCGCAATAACGATTGCAATTATTCCCGATTCTCTACGACAGGAAAGAGAGGCTATCCTAGGCTCTTGACGCACCTGGCAATAAGTTGCATGTGACAACTCAATGCGCAGATCATGGATCTTTGGATGCCGAGTTCAGAGCAGACCCTTGTCCTTTCTCAGCAGAGCATCTCCGAATTTGTCGTCCCATCTTTCCGACACGCACCTGATCTGATACGTTATATTAATAAGACCATCGAGTCGATAAGACGCGCCGTGATATAAAAAAAAAAAAAGGAGGTGCGACCAAGATCCCACTTTTTAAATCGGGGTTGCTTTGTAAGAGACCGCAATCTTGACCAGCCCAGGCCTGGCTTCACCTACCTATCTTGGTGGGTTGGACTTGAGAGTTCATGCATGCATCCTCCAGGAGGCGAGGCGAGCAATGGCGTTTGGAAGAGAAGAACGGAGAAAAAGAACATGAGGCATTTCCGGAGGGGCGTCGTGCTCCTGCTTCGTGCTTCTTCGAAGGAAGGAACCGTGGGGGTAACAATCTGCAAGTTCTTCGTAAAACAGCATCTTGGCTTGTCAGCCTCCATGCTTCCTACGAAGTACACTCCCATCCCCGTCACGGATGGATGACGTGCCAATCATCCTTGACGTCTTTAATCTCCGTTCTCTCACACACACAGCACTTTCGCATCAACGTCAAATGTCCTTGCCTCGGACCAACTATTATTGCTCTGCATGCCTGCTACGTGTGTAGGGGCACATTGGCGCCGATTCTTTTCTGAAACTGAATCGCCCTACTCCTGTCAAGGACGTGTTGGCAGACTTTGGGCATGTGTTAGTGATACCAACATGCCCGACCATTCCCTGCTCCGAAATTTTTTAAACAGGCATTATTATTGATTCCCACGGCCTTGGATGACCCTGGACATTGGCGCCGCAACATCTTCATTCCGGGGGAAGACGTCTAGATCGATCCACGCACAGCGGTGCGGGCGAGGATTGCAGCAAATGTTAACAAAAAGAAAGGTGAACTTAGGCACACACCAAGATGCATCCAGTGGGCCAAGGTTACAATTCCTTCCATGTGTCCTCAGCAGACTCGTTGAAAATGGTTGGAGATGCTGTGCAACATTGGGAACAATGAGCCGAGCGCCTCGAGGTCCTCCCAAGGACACCGATGGCGATCGACCAGCCCCGGACACACACACCTTCCAATCTTTGAGCCAGCCAATCTTTTTCTTTTCTCTCCCCCAAGCAATCCGGTGTGTTGAAGAACAGTACAAAGGGAATCCCGCCATCTTTGGAAAAGCAGTTTTTGCTCGATCCCAGTTCCTTCTAAACTGAGCACGGGATCCCCCTATTTTTACATGCTTGGCTCTCTTTTTGCAATTGATATTATCCTTTCTTCCCCAGTCGGGAGTGTCGATCATCATATGGCGGGAATGGCTGACAGCCTTAATGCCAGTGAGGTTTCATCCTGTCTTTCTAGAATCAATGGCGCTCTGCTGAGGGGAAATCGACGGGATCTCCGATCAGGGGGTTTGTTGGGTGGTTACGAACACGGGAGTCATTGCTTCCAAGACTTACACCGCCGACTCCCCTATGCATCATGCATCTTACCCGTCTTCGGAAACGGCGGATAGCTAATTGACAAAAAAATTGGACACGGATAAACCGCTCTTCCACCGGGGTCGTCTCCTTGAGTGCACCCAAGTTGGCATGTCCAACCCTGCATCTTGCGATGACCTTGTTGGGCATCGGTGACGGATGTGGTGAGGCAGTCTTCCCCTAACCGCGCCTTAACCGTGGATCCCAGATGTTCCACCCAAAGGACAAGCTGTCGCCGAATCGAGTAGCAGAGGAGCCGTGGCTTGCTACTTTCGGCTGGGACTCGTCGGTTTCAACCTTCCGCTATCCCCACCACGGAACCGAGTCATCGGAACTCGCGCCGTAATCGTTCCTGGGGCCCCGGGCGAAAACCTTATCACCTCAACTTATAGCCATAATGAACACCGCCAAGCTGTAATATTCCAGCAGAATGCAACAGAATGCAATACCGGAAATCCTTCGACCTCCTTTCTTCCTTCCTTTGAAGCCGAAGAAAAAAACAAATGCCAAATGAAGGTCTCACGCAGCCCGCGAATTGGGAGAATGAAACTGCCGTCCAACTTAATCCTGGTCGATCAACATCTAACCCGCCCAAGGAATCCTTTGTTTTCCCGCAGCCACAGCCGTCTTTTATGGGGCAAAACACAAAACAGGCTTTAAAACCATCATATCAAATATCTTCAAGTGCTCGGCCCGACGTCCTCGTCTCTCTTTCCCGGCGGAAACACGCTTCCTACTCCTTGTATCGACCCAGATGGAATCCTTTCCCGTCTTACCGCTCCGCGACACAGGATATAACGAATCCGCTTCAATGTTTGGCATCCTCAGTTTTACAAGTCCGTGTTTATTTCCATTTTCCCCAACTCTAGGTGAGCAGCATAAAGCAGCGCATTGATCAGGACCCATTTCGTTGCGAGTGCCTCCTCCTTGCGTAATAGCCAATCCTGATAGCCGCAGCTGCCCGACTCCTTTATGCGAGATCTCTTACTTCCCGTTGCCCGAAGGGGGGCCGGTCCGCGAGAAAAAGAAAATAAATCAAAAAGGAATCTTGATATCTCCCATTTCTGCCTGTCGGAATAGGGGAGGATGACATTCTTGGGTGGTGTTTACCTTCCTATGTAACCTATATCAGAAGTTGATATCTTTTCTCATTTTCCTCCTCTTTGCTTTTTTCTTCCTACGAAGTGGACGCAACGATACACCTGCCCAAAGTGTAATGTAATACCGTTTCGAGTAAGGCCGACTCCCAAGACAGCTTTTCTTCATGCAACGCGGACGACGCACGTCTGAGGGAGTGGAGCGAAAGGAAGCAAGGATCAAGACTTATCAGGATTCAGGAATGACATTGACATGCAACTTTTCTTGTTCCCGTGAAAGTTTCTGGAACATCTACGAAGTATGAGAGAGAGGCTTGGAAAACACGGCAAATCGGTTTCGTTTCAGCTAGATAAACACTTTTGCCCGAAAGCCTTTGTTTTATTTTGTTCACATTACTCCTAAGGGGGGGCGTGTCATGACAAAAAAAAAAAAAAAAAAAAAGGAATTGTATCATCTCCTAGCAATTATGGAGAGTGTAAAAGAAATTGGGGGTCTACAGAGGACGAACTGCAACGACGGTCATCAGCTCACCTTTGGAGCTTAATGGGTATGAAGAATCGTTTGCCCCAAAGGTTTTTTTTTTTTTTTTTTCGATGTGACAAGTCACGTACAGTCCTCCCCTTTCTGCAGATGTTCCAAAAATCATCAAGCTCCATAGGATCGGTGAGGAGGTTAACCCAGGCATGTGCTTCCTCGGCTGAGGGAGGCAGACGCTAGTAACTCAAATATGTGTCCTTTTTTCAACAAGATCTCCCAACATGACATCTCCGATCCTGTAGTGGCAGGTATAGCTACAGCCTGTATTGGTAGGGTGTGGTTTTGAGCTAGGGGCGTGCACAAGTTTGCTTACCAGACTCATATTGTCCCCTCGCACTCACCACAACCACCCAATATGGTCTCGATACGTCGACGGTTGATTTTCCCTTTCTTAGTAGGGTGCTGCCCGACGACGCTTTCGGGCCTTGTTTTTCGGACAGTCGGAGGACTTGTGGCCGACCCCGCTGCACGCAAAGCACTTCATAGGCTGGCGGTTGAAGGCGCCGCCTCCTCCTCCTCCTTGGGATATTCCACCACTGCCACCACCAGAGGATATTGATGTCAGTCGGCTAAGCTTGACTTCCTTCTTTTTCTTCTTCTTCTCGGCCTTGTCGCGCTTCTTCTTGGAAGATTGGCTCTTCTTGCTGCCTCTGTTAGAGCTGCTGGAGACTTCTCCTTCCTCATCAGAATCGCCATCACTATCCGAAGAACCACTGCCAGAATCCTAACGAGTTCAGGCGTGTCAGCGTAAAACCCCATGACGAAATCCCCCCCCTTCCTTCGCCTCCAAGTTTCACTCACCTCCTCAGCCTCCTTATCCTCCTTCCTCTTATAATTCCCCGTAATCCTCCGTCCAGCGCGTACATCATCCTGAGTCCCATCACCGTCAGAGTCACTCCCCGCGCGATCAATCTCCCCATAGCCCACATAAACCACGCTCAAAGGCGGCTTCTCCTTAGCGCCATCCCGCGCCGCACCTCCCTTCGCAACAGGTATGTCAAGAACCCAGTGAGAATCCGACAGCTCGGCCGCCCGCCGCTCTACGGCCGCGCGACGCTTGGCTTCGAGCTCCTCGACGGCGGCTTGGATCTTGGCGTGCGAGAAGAGGTCGGTGTCGGCGGACGCTGGCGTCGGCGTGCTGCCTGCGGATTTGTGGTGGCTGAGCTTGCGGCGCTTCGAGGAGCTCTCTTGTGGGGATGGGGATGGGAGGGATTCGGCAGTTGCGGCGCCTCGTTGCATGAATTTCATGGAGAGGAGACGGGACGAGGGGCCCGTCTGGGGCGTGGATGGCGCCATTGTAGGAGGTAGCTTCTGTTTGTTTTGGGAGGTGAATGTGTTGGTTTCGCGTAGTCGGTAGCTCCGAATTGTCAGCCCCAACGTGTTTGGGATGGGAAATAGTAAAACAATCCGGAGTCAGTCCCTCGCGCACTGGATTGAGATCGTTGCCTCCTAAAGGGGAAAAATATTGAAGCTCCAAAAATTATTTCTTTTGAGCCTCGCGAAAATTGATTCACTGGCATAATTCAACGAGGCCAAATTACCTAATCACAAGACTTCAGCTCTCCGCCCCACCAATCGGAAACCCGATTTTGGACCACTCCATCTTCAACTTCTCATCAGGTTCAATCGTTCGTCCAGTCGAAACATTAGTACTAGACAAGAAGGAGACTATCGATCCGAGGAAGGAATGGCAAAAGTCATTGGAGCTGGAAAGAGATGAGACTGCATCTATCTGGTCTGCCCGTGGAAACTCGCACTGAATATTCTACCCCAAGCAAGAGACTCTACACATCGTGAAATGTGACTAGGCTGCCTCCCCCTTTCTATGATTGCCAAGTGTTTCCGTCTTAAAAGAGAACCTGAACTTGAGAGAGGAATGTTAGTCTTATATGCCAAAACCAGCAGTAGGACCAGGCACCGACTTGGGGAACCGTGGTTTCCAGTGAGTGGAAGGGTGGGCAAATATCACCTCACTAACACACAGAGGCAGGTAGGTTCGTTGATGAGAGATCAAGTAGTATTCCCATTCGTACCCGAGTCAAATAGGTATAATATGCTAATGGGAGAGCAGGAGTATAGAAATAGAGCTAATGGAGGTGTAATATCTTTCGAATGACTACACAACTTCGATGACAACGGCGTTGGGATACTGTGTCAGCTATTTGATCATGATGAATATATCAAGGCCGACACTCTAGATGTAGATTTGGCAAAGGATATAGAATCGAAAAGAAAGTGGGAAAAGGAAGCATCTCTATCATTTTGTTTAGTGCAATGGAGTCCAATTATTTCGATGCCAGCAGACGATGCCAATCGCATCGGTGAAGAGCTAGTCTCGACATCGGCATTGAAGTCAGAGAAGAGATACCGGTTCCGGAGATATTGCAGTGGCCGCCCAAAGACTACCAAGCCCGGGTTCAAAATGTACTTGCATGACTAAATAATTCACCACTAGCATAGGGGCGTAGGAAGATGTAGACTCCCCCGAAGTTCCCAAGGGCGCTTTACCAAAAGAAGATGATCCGTATCTCCATCTACGCCCTCACATTATCTCCCAAATCCCAAGAAAGAGTGACCGATTCCCTAAGTATCATATAGAGTTTTCCTAAGAGGGTAGTGGCAGTTCCTTTCAGGTTCACCGAACGCGAGAATGATGCCGAAAAAAAAAAAAAAAAAAAAAAAGAAAGAAAAGCCGGCGTAGAAGCCATGTCCCAGGGTCGAACCAACAACCTCTCTAAGCTTTCCCCCCTCGCCTCAACTCCGTCCACAGCGTCTCCGGCCTTTAAATATCGCAACCTCAAGAGAACACCCCGGAGTGCGATTCCCTAGCGGGAAAGAAGAAGAAAAAAATGTCTCGATAATGTAGACAAATCTACCAAAAAAAGAATTCCCACTTCTCCCTCCCCAATTCCCAATCCCTTTCCCATTCCCCTCCTCCAGGCTTCATGGTTTGACCAGACCGGGTTCCACGCCGGCGCCTTGCGGAAGTAGTTTATAAGCAGTGCGTCACCGCTCGACCACTTGAGCTTCCATGAACCGTTGGAAACCCAGAGCCAAATTTTCATATAGAACACATGCATACACACACACCGCTCCCACAACTTGGAAGGTGCGTTACAAACAACCTCCTACCTCCGCAACTCGGCTTTCTGACTTTGAATTTGATATTTTGTCTATTCATTGCCCATACTGATCTTTTGGGATGATATACATCCCTACCTCAACACATTTTTTGTATAAAAAACCAAACCAAGCAATATACTTCATTCCTGTTCCTCCATACCAATGCCGCTTACGCCTTCAAAAACGAATTCAAAAGAACAACCCCCTCAGCACCCTCCTTCCTCTCCACCAACATACCAACCCTAAACACCTTCTCCCCAGCCTCCTCGAGCACCTTCGTCGCCTTCTCGGCCTCCTCAACGCCCACGACAACGAGCATACCGATACCTGTATTAAAAGCCCTACACATTTCCTGATCCGTCACGGCGCCCGCGCTCTGGAGCCAAGTGAAAACGGGAGGAAGAGGCCACGAAGAAAGGTCGATCTCGGCAGCGAGGTGAGAGGGCAGCATGCGGGGAGGGTTTTCGACGAGGCCGCCGCCGGTGATGTGAGCGAGACCCTTGGCGAGGTTGGAGGAGGTGAGGGCTAGGACGGAGGGGACGTAGATCTTCGTAGGGGTGAGGAGGGCTTCGCCGGCGGAGAGGGATGGGTCCCAGGGGGCGGGGGCTGTGAAGGGGACGTTGGCGCGCGAGAGGATCTTGCGGACGAGGGAGAATCCGTTGGAGTGCACGCCCGAGGAGGCGAGGCCCAGGAGGACGTCGCCTTGCTGCATGGCGTCCTTGCGGGGTAGTCTGGAGGCTTCGGTGACGATGCCGACGGCGGCTCCGGCGGCGTCGTAGTCTTTGCCGTGGTAGAGACCGGGCATCTCGGCGGTTTCGCCGCCGACGAGGGCGCAGCCAGACTGGATGCAGCCTTGCGCGACGCCTTCTACGAAGGAGGCCGCGGCGGCTACGTCGAGCTTGCTGCAGCCGTAGTAATCCAAGAACATGAGGGGCTGGGCGCCCTGGACGACGAGGTCGTTCACGTTCATGGCGACTAGATCGACACCGACGGTATCGTGCTTGTCGATGGCCTGGGCGATCATGAGCTTCGTGCCGACGCCGTCAATGGCGCCCACGAGGATGGGGGCACCTGGGAATCCGCACTTGGAGAGATCGAGCTCGCCTCCGAAGCCGCCGATTTCGGCGTCCGCGCCCGCTCGTTTCGTCGAGGCTACGGCTGCGCGGATGCGTTCGACTAGGGCGTTTCCGGCTTCGATGCTTACACCGGCCTGTGCGTAGGTAAGGCCTTCTTCTTGCTGCTGCTCAGACTTAGCGGCGGCGGGGCGGAGGGCGCGGTGGGCAATGTCCTTGCGGAAGAACATGCCGTCAAAGTTGATGAGCTTGACGCCCTCGTAGGCGCGGTCGACGGCGGCCTGGAGAGAGTCGGCGGTGGCGTTGGCGGCGATGACGCGGCCACCCGCCGTCTTGAGCTGCTGGCCGTCGAAGGCGGTTCCGGCGTGGAAGATGTTGACATATTCGGGGGCCTTGTCGGCGGCGACAGCCATGGGCGTACCCTTAGCGTAAGATCCCGGGTAGCCGCCCGATGCGACGACGACGGTGGCGCTGAAGCGGTTATCGATCTTGAGGTCGATGCCGTCGAGGCAGCCGTCAACGCAGTGGAGCATGACGTCGGCGAGGTCGGTGTCGGCCGACAAGAGTGGCAGGACGGTCTGAGTTTCTGGGTCGCCGAAGCGGACGTTGTACTCGAGGACCTTGGGGGTGCCGTCCTTGGCGATCATGAGGCCGGTGAAGAGGACACCGACGAAGCGGTTACCTTCGCGACGCATGCCGCGGAAGGTGGGCTCGAGGATCTCGTGGTTGACGCGGTCCATGAGCTCGGGGGTGGATATGGGCGTGGGCGCGTAGCAGCCCATGCCGCCCGTGTTGGGCCCCTCGTCGCCGTCGAAAATGCGCTTGTGGTCCTGGGCGGCCGGGAGAGATTGGAAGTTGGTGCCGTCGGAAAAGGTGAGGATGCTGAGTTCCTGGCCGTCGAGGTACTCCTCGATGACGATCTCGTCACCGGCCGAGCCGAAGGCCCTGTCGACCATGATCTCCTTGACGGCGGCCCTCGCCTCTTCCTTGGTCGTGGGGATGATGACACCCTTGCCGGCGGCGATACCGGTAGCCTTGATAACGACGTCATGGGAAATCGTCTCAAGGTAAGCCAGGGCCTTATCCGCATCGGAAAAGTTCTCGTACGCTGCCGTGGGGATCCCATGCCTCTTCATGAAATCCTTCGAAAACGTCTTGCTGCCCTCGAGACGCGCCGCCTCTAGCGAGGGCCCGAAGCAGCGGATATTGGCATCCCGAAAGTGTTCGGCCACTCCCGCGACAAGGGGCGCCTCGGGTCCCGGAACGACGAGGTTGATGGACTTGGAACGGGCGAGTTCGACGAGGGCGGGGAAGTCGTCGGGCGAGACGTCGGTGACGTTGGTTACTTTGGGGCAGAGGGCGGTGCCGCCGTTGCCGGGGACGGCGAGGATGGATTCGACGCGCGGGGACTGGCTGAGCTTCCAGGCGAGGGCGTGCTCGCGGCCTCCGTTGCCGATGAGGAGGATGCGGATGGGACCCTTGAGGACGGCGGCCATTTTTGTGGGGGTAAGACGAAGGGGTTTCTTCTGCGAAGGTGTCAGAGATGAGGTTGGCCTGAACCTCCGTTTCAATTGTCCTTTACAGGAGATATGCCCAGCTCCGGACTTGTTGCGACAGCTTAGTTGAAATTTTTTTGGGCTACACTAGAAGTTTGCGCTGTCGTCGCATGTGCTTCATGGTGGGGTTGCAAAATTTCAGATTGAGGGGGAGGGGCACCAGAGCGGATTGAATTTTGAGAGAGCAACAGGTGAGATTGAGACCTACCTTTGGGACTGCAAGCTTCAAATGTTCTTCGTCAGACCCAATGAATTGGCCAACTATGCCAATTGAGCTTCTTTTGCCGTAAGAGAGTCTGATATCCCTCCCGAAGCAAAACTAAACAGATCTGGTTCAGCAAATTCTATTTTTTTTTTTTCTTCCCTCGACTGAATTGCGCGCCTACGATACGCTGCTGGATGAGCCTAGACCCCGCGGTTTCCTATTCGGGAATCACCACTGGATAAAAATAGGCGAAAAAAATTCGATCGCAGCAAAAATGGCTCTTCAACGGCAGCTTTGATAGTCCGTTCCGCTCTTGGCTGTGAAACCTACTTCGTAGGA